ATCGGATATCGTGTATAGCCAAGTTTCTTATCCTACAAGCTTTTTATTTGCGGGAGGGAAAACATCATATAACATCAACATCCTGTCCTAGACAGGGCAAGAGGGTGTGTCAGAAACTTACTGACTAAGAATCATCATTTTCCATCTCCAGCTCCAGGCCAAGGCCCTGTCTGAATCCTACATGCTGATCCGTAATAAAACATTTGAGGCGAACTAATGCAGTCGGAGCTTGAAGCGCGTAGTTCTTAACGCGTAGTTCGTAGTATATAACACGTTGCGCGTAGTTCGTAGCATGTAGCACGTTGCGCGTAGTTCGTTCGTAGAATGTGGTGCGTAGCGCAAAGCTAGTCCGTAGCGGGTAAAATGTAGTTGCAAACTCGTAGTTCGTACCATGTTGTGCGTGGCGCGTAGTTCATAGCGTAAAAGTAGTACGTAGTTTGTAGCACGTAGGGTTTAGCGTTTAGCATGTAGTACGAAGCGCGTAGTTTGTAGGTCTTATATACCTAGCGCGTAGTTCGTAGCGTGTAGTACATTGGCGTGTATTTCGTAGCGAACAGATGGTGCGTAGTTAGTAGCAAGTAGGTAGTGAGTAGCATGTATTATGTAGCGCGTAGTTCGTAGCAAGTAGTGAGTAGTACGTATTATATAGCGCGTAGTTCGTAGGAATTAGTGATTAGTTACTTACTACTTGCTATGAGCTACGCAGTACATCTGCGTAGCTCATAGCAAGTAGTAAGTAGCATGTACTACGTAGCGCGTAGTTCGTAGAAAGTAGTGATTAGCATGTAGTACGTAGCGCGTAGTTAGTAGCGTTTTGTACGAAGGACGTAGTTTGTAGTTTATTGTACGTAACGCGTAGTTCGTATCAAGTAGCCCGTATTATAAAGTACGTAGCTCGGAACAGCGAATTACCATTTTAATTGTGATGGATTAGCCTTGCATGTTGGCGAAGATGTAGAGTTTGAAAACCCTTGTTGCATCTGATTCTCTAGTAGAATCCTCGGTTTCTGTGCCTACTTGCTTCACAGCTGATAAACGCTGCTACGCATTACAAAATACAGGTTACCTAGGCTCCCTACGAGCTACGAACGTTTTATTTTACTGTATTGACTTAGTGTAAGTGAATAATGAAGCTAGTAAGTGAATAATTAATGATCAGTATTAGTTAGTAGGTACTATATTAGTTATATCTAATTATATTTTTAGATCTTTGTATCAAAAGGAACACTGTACTTTGTACCAAGGTAAGAATGTAAAAGAAAGACAACATGCTCAGAGAAAAGGAAGATATTGTGCTCTTGCGGTTTGCTAGGCTCCTCTCAGTAGGGGCACTGCTACGCACCTAGATACAATTTGTCTTACAATACCAAACCTAATTAAGTACTATCAGAAAGTTATAAGAGCAACAGTAATACAGTGGCCCGACCTTTTACTGAAGTATTGTAGCGCTACCTATTGTTTCGGCGCTTAATTTCAATTTTTTATATTATTTTTAGTTAATCAACCGGTAGTCTTTACGACTAAATTGTTATTCAGTTAAAACGCCTACATAAAGTGTGATTGCAATACATTTGTCTATGTTCCAAGGTGAAGTGTATTAATTCATTAAGATGTATGTTTGATTACTTTAAAATAAGTTAAGACCACAGAATAATTTAGGTCAAGGTGGGTACTTACTTACCAAACTGTTAGGGAAATAAAAGTGGGAGTATTGGTGGAAAAGCATAAGAAGAGATTTCAGTTGTACAGCGAGCGCGTTTTTTTTTTGTAGACGTAAAATCATTAAATTACTCATTTGATGAAGTTATGAAGGGTATAGCGAGAGGGAATGTCAGATTCTTACTGACTAAAAGCCCCTCCGTTCCTTCTGCTCCAGGCCGCGGCCAAGCGTTGACCATGTTGGGCCCCATCTGCGATGGTCTATTGTCTATACATATAGTTGATGCGTAATATCTTGTTTAATATACATATATAAGTGCTCATTATATACCTAAAGGGACAGGGGTCAGAGAGAGGACCAAATTTTAAAAAATCAGGTTATTACTTCATATTAAGAGCAAGGGTTGATGTCATGCACTTAAATAACCCGCCGAATTCATCGTAGTTTACAGAGGTGGTTGCATGTTTGTCGGTCAACCACACTACGAAAATCGGCAGATTAAAATCCATGCATTATCAGAAATACATGAAGCATTTACACTATCAATATTTATCAAACTCGATTAATGATTATAAGTCAAGTAAGTCATCGGTTCCCCTTTTCCCCGGCGGCGCCAGGATATGCCAGCAAACCGTTTTTTTCTATTACTTAATCTTTAAAATCCAGTAGACGTCGCTCAACACGACTCAAGCATCGTAGGGACGCTTGAGTAACTAGAAAGTAAGCATTGCAGGCTACATTTAAAAAAAGTAGACGAATTACCTGGTGGTAAGTAATCAGCCCCTCCCATAGACACCCGCAAAAACAGAGGAGTCAAGAGTCAATGCCATAAACAGGGAGTAGGCAGGTAAGTAAGAATTATTGGTATGTTATAGTATGTAACTAACAATTTTACGTGATATACATGAGGTATTAAATAAAAAAACACATCAGAACAGAATTTATCAGGATTTATTATAATATTTGGAAGACATCAATCAGTCCTATCTATGTATTTAGCAAGTTTTTATAGTGATACTTAATAATATTCTAAGTTCCTGCAAATTATTCATATATTTATGTATTGTGTTTAAAAAAGGTAAGATCACATCTATTACTTCCATTTGTAATTGAGCATAATAAAATATAATTATTAAAGTATGTAATGGTAAGACGCACGAGACACCTAACCAGCTTAACTTAATAGGAAATTAACAGCCCATGTCGGATAGTTCAGGACAGCAGCGGTATTTATCAAACCTCATAAATGAAGAAAACAAGTCCTTTAATGCTGGTACGAAGAAAATACCTAACTGGCTAACATCTTTTAAAATTTAACGACTAAGGTACATGCGGGTATTAAAGCCTGTCGGCTAATAAGGCCTAAACATTAAAAATCTTGCTTAGAATACGATTTTGCGCTTAATCTCACGCACATACATGTATATTACACGTACAAGGCGCCACCATGCGGCAAGTGTTGGCTAACTCACTCGCTCTCGCTAATGGCGTGTTAAACGTTGTCAAAAGTAGCCGCACGTCACGTTTTTACAAATATTGGCTCCAGTTAAACACAAATATTTCTTAAATTATTATACTTATCTCCTTGCACTTACTGTCTGTATTATCGTTAACCTATGCTCGTCCCACATTGAATTATTCATTAACGTTCTACAGTCCAAATTGTATTTATTTCGTTTTTCATAAATACCTAACCTATGGGTAATAAGGCCTATAAAATTGTATAGTAGGCCTTATTATACTTATAGGTATATATACTTCAATATTTGCATTATTTTCAAAATTATTTCAATAGGTATATCATATATTATTCACAGTTCCTACGTTCACGATGCTACCCAAGCGAGCATTGTGGTCAAAAGATGACTAATCTATGGCATTTCCTCTGAAGACATCGTCTTCTACTTGCACGACTAGAGTAAGAAAAAGAACAATAATATCTGGGTTTCATGATCTCATAAGGCTATTAATTTTCGGGGTACTCCAGTGAACAAAGATCATTTTGATAAATTCAATGAAGGTAAAAAAAGCAATGCAAGGAATAAAAATAAAATTCAGAAGAAGAAGAAAACCAAGGGACAGAAAAGCGATCTAGGCAATTCTAACCTTCATTTCCTTCAAACACCCATAAGAGCAATTAAAACAAAGTGTTCTCGCGGATCTGATCGAACCAAGGACACTGAAGGCACTCAAGTTAGTTGGTACTGCCATGCCTGTGAATAACACAGTATACAGTATGGATGACATGAGGCAGTGCTCTCAATGCCCCAAGTGGTATCTTGAGGAGTGTGTTGGTTTATCAGTGGATGATTATGATGACTTCGTATGCCCTGGTGGATGTTAGATGAGGCTACTCATTTAATTCTAAAGTATTATTCTGCCATTGACTGGATAATGATTGATATCAAATACCAAATTATGTTATTTTAGTTGATTAATAGGATATTTAAAGAAACAGGCTTTGTTACCCTACCGAATTATAATAAGGCCTATTAAGAGCGTTTAAAAAAATGTTAAATATTGTTTAAGTTTCATGCAGAAGTTGCAATTTTTTGTTTTAATGTTGTAGTTGCCTAAATTAACGACTGATTACCGAATAAAACTAGTTGATTCTATTATCAGTTTTGATTTTACAACAAATTTCCCTTAGCTAGGCCTTAATACCCTCATGTACCTTATTCGATAGTACGTATGATGGACTTTTATCTCTTTCTTCCCTTTGCTGCTTTGTAATGGAGAGCAAAACTAAGATTTTATTGAATTACAATCTACAAAAAAACTTGTACTATCTAACATTTGACCAAATTATTGGTATGACAAAGTTGTGCGATCTAAACGTGTTGGGCGTTTGTGTATTATAAAGTGTAACATCATACGAATGATATATTCAATTATATACCTAATAACTATAGACATAGATAAAGTACATAAGGTATTACAAAAAAAGAATACTTAAATACTTATAGAGAACAAAGGTTTTACAGATTATGTTAACTTACAATTAGATTACTGTTTTTTTACTTATACAAAAAAATATACTTTATTAGTTTAGGTTACTATATGGAATTACAATGAAATGCTTAATAAACTGTATCATTTCGTTAAGGTCTTATCACAAACCATAATTTTCTTCACAGTTACAGCACAGCGAAAAGTCAGAATACAAAATATTGATACAAAATTTAAAATATCGTCAATATTTAATTGAATAAAGTAAAAATATATCAGTAACATTAGAAAAACTATATAGAATACAAATTAAGTATTTGTATTCTATATAGTTGGCACGAAAAAATTAAACACTATATTTTTGACGTAGATTTTACGTTAGTTACTCAATAAAATTACTGAAAAAAATGCATGAAACAACTGTTTTTACTTTTACAACCAATATAATCTTACTTCAACTGCTTCAAAGTTTTCCTAAGTATTTCCAAATAGAGTTCAGCGTGTTTTGGTTGGAAAATGAGAGCCGGTCGAAGACGAATCGCAGATATTCCACACGATCCTCCAAGCACACCTGTAATTTAAAATATGATATATTTATTGCCAATACCGCTTATTACAGCTTGATATTTTATAATCTACTAGCTTCCACCTGCTGTTTCTCCCGCGTGGTATGTTGATAAAAAAAGCCTACGTCCTATTCCGGAATGTTTCCTATGCTTTGCCAAATTGCATCCAGATCCGTCCAACCGTTTTGGCATGATTGAGTAACAAACATCCAAACATCCTAACTTTCGCTAAGTAATAGTACGACAAGTACCTTTGCTTAAACACTTTTTTTTAATTTTTAAAATCAAGCCTGCCCAGCCCAGGTCTATTAAAGTATAAATCGGTTCAATTATTGAATTAAATTAAGGTAAATACAACACTTATTGAGTCTAAACTTGATAACGCTGCTTTAAACTGAATATGATTTGAGTATCCTTTTGATTCCAGATCATCAGCAGAATCATAGTTCTCTCTTGTTCTAGAGATTAAAATTAAACTAGTATCAGAATATCACTTACCATTTTGTTTCAAGGTTTGGACAATCTTATCCCTTAATTCTGGTGTAGCGACGTCGAATGCCAAAAATGTGCCTCGACCACGTACGCTGTTTATCATGAAGGGAAATTCGGTTTCTAGAGTGTGCAGGCCACTCTTAAGAATCTTTCCTGTCTCTTCGACTAATTGTAGAAGGCTTTCAGTTTTTATGACCTTGATAACTTGTTCCAACAAAACCAACTTCGATGGATCTCCCATCCACGTGTTGAAAATTCTGAATGGTTGTGGTGGCCTGGTAAAAAGTAATAAATATTTTAAAGTATTTTACAAACACATTCCTTTTGTATTCATAAATTTAGCTTTAAATTCCACACGCTCTGTGGCATTCTTAAACATAACTAATAAAAACAATAAAACGAAGCTATTTAAAAGGTGTTGTATTGTTCAAAAAGTGCTACGAAAACTTACAGATAGTCGGGCTTGAAGTAGAACCCTCCAGTCAACATTTTCTTACTGAAAGTAACCAAGTCGGGTGGTGACTGCAAATTGAAATGTTCGTGACACCACATTTTACCTGTCGGTCCACATCCAGTTTGTACTTCATCCATAATCAAAGCCGCTCCTCTCTGAGAATATAACAAGAAAGATCACAAGTGAAGATACGTAACAACATAACGGTATTCTTTTAATAAAAATACTTAAGTAGTAAATGTATTTTAGACGAATACTCGAATACTAATACACTTGAGCCCCTATTACGTACTGGCTACAAGATCATAGTCCTAGACTCTATTAATGAAAACGTTGAACAACGCCAAATCTCAATAATCGGACCGGCATTCAACTTTACTTGGCTGTCTTGCACTTGCGAACACTGGACTGATAAGATTATTTATCAAATCAAAGTACTACGCTGCTAAGTATGGGACCCAATATTTGGGGGGCGTCGCGTCGTTCAGCCGGAGTTACGGGTACTAGCGCAATAATGTACCGCGGACTTGGCCTGGATCAGAAGGACAAATCTATAGGTACTATCTATACTAATATTATAAAGAGGTAAAATTTGTAAGTTTGTATGTAGGGGATATTCTTTGGAGCTACTGGTCGGATTTCCAAAATTCTTTCACTTGTCGATAGCTACAATGTTCCCCAGTGCTATAAAACATCACGCTACAATTAAATGGAGCCGAGCAGCGAGTAAAGTAAAGTAAAAAATAAAGCTGTAAAGTACAAAGCTACAGATAGATTGAAAACGGTTAATAACATGGTTCATTAAGGTTGTTTCAGATAAAAACAAAACGTGAATGAGTATAATAAATAGCTTACGCGTTGACATATTTTTTGCAGTTCTTGGAAAAACTCCGGTGAAGCTTCGTTATCACCACCTTCCGCCTGGATAGGTTCAATGATAACGCCAGCGATAGGCTTTTTCTTTTCCCATCTGTCAAATTGATCTTCTACATCTGCGAGACACCTTAAATAGGTAAATGTTACAAATCATTATTAGAAAGTTTTAGTGATTTGAGACCATAAAGTAAAAAAAATATTGTTACTTAAGATAGGTAATCGCAGAATAGGTACTATTAAACACAAATGTAGGTAAAACCGAGTGACTACTTAATGTAAATTTTGAATAAAAAATAATAAGTCTTACTCTTTGTCTTCCTGTTCATTTTCACGTTTAAACTCTTCCAAAGGATACTTGTATTCTGGGAATCTAGCAACTGGCCATTCAAAAGTTGGGAAGTCCAATTTATGAATTGCTTTCGACTTAGTAGTCGCCAAAGATCCAAAAGAACGTCCATGGAAGGCTCCGTTACGATTTGGACCCTGAAAATGGTAGAGCTCTATTAAATATTAAAAATAAAATAATGCAATAAATAAGATTAAAAAAGAAAATCTGTGTAATCGAGCCTAAAAATAAAAATAAGATTTTCTCTGACAGAAATTCGATAATCCTGTTTATTTAGAGAAACGATTGTGCGAAACAGACTTAGTTCTTTTATTTATCAGTATTACATATCTAAAGTGCGACGGAAGTAACATCTATTGAACCATTTGATCCAGTTGTGGCGTACTCGAAGTCAACTAGCACAAAGGGGACAGAAGTATTATACATACATATAAGGCCACTCGATCATAGGATCATAATATCACAAAAGTAAATAAAATATTCTTACATTTGTATTCATTTTCTTAAACAGTAGCCGGTATAATTTACATTTATACGTTAGGTACCTACCTAGGTACTAGAACGAATTGTAATTAGATTCACTGATAAAAGTGGAAAGTTGGAAATGTTCGAATTCCAGTTTTAAAAGTTCTCAATTACCTAATTCATATAGATATATAGAAATAGAAGCATTCATGATACCTAAGGAAAAAACAAACAAAGAAATTGTTCTGAGTTTTTCGAAAATATTTCATTATCGGGGAGAGTTTTAAAAAGTATTGTGACTGTTAACTATACATATAGTCATGAAAATACAGAGCTAAATTGATAACAATCAGATTCACACTCAACTCATACCTGAATAAACTGATTAACCAAAATAGAAAGTATATAAAGGTAAAGATAGTGAATATAGAACTAAGTGTATGTGAATTAATTTCAACACAGTATTGTAAACCAAGTTAGCAACGACTTATTTCTGAATATTCTGTAAGGTAAAGATGAAAAATGCGGACGGTTTCAGTAAGATAAATACCGTTGCCAAATAGACACTAAGGAACGAGCTAAATATTTTTAAATCTTATTATCAACAGATATTGAAAACAAGACTACACAATGAAAGTACAGTTTGCCGATTAGTCGAAACTCTAGAAAACTTGTAGGATACTGTACTGTATTCCAACATGGGTATGCATTTGCTTACATAGGTATTAGGGAACTAACCACTGTAGGTATGCGTATGAATCTAAAAGCTTCGATCATCATTCAATAATAAGAATATTTTTTTATTGATTGTAGCCTTAAAAAATATGCAAAAACATTTGTTCATCTTACAAATAAATGTAGGTAAAAATGATATCGAACAATCATCCTAAAATAATAAATTCATTTATAAACATTAATCCGGCGATATCTTTGACCGCTGCCTGATCGTGGAGCGGTCATTAGGGCATTCATGTTCGGATGTTTTGTCATTGACATTCAACGATGCCACGTTCGAAGCTCCAAATAGTTTAACGAACCCGTCGAAGTCTTGATCTAACATAAACTCCTCTAAATGCAGGATTGTACAGCTTTTATTTAGCAGCAAAAAAGAACTCTTATAACTGTCGTATATTGTTCATTTTTTTTTATTATATCGCAACTCGTCGCGTTTTTCCTTGCATTTAATTACTTATTCCTTTTTACTTATTTATCGAAATTGAATTACGATTCGTTGTATTTTGCATTACTTATAAGTAAACGATACTAACCTTAAATGACATAATTGATAATTCTGGCGATCCTGGAGGAATATTTAGAAGTGCTGTTTTTAATTCTTCATCTGTAAATGTTGTTCTGCCACCACGTTTTCTTGTACAGTATAGTATGAAAGCGGCTTTGAACGCATTTTCATTAGAGCAAGCTCCACACATCATGGTCATGACGTGGTGCAAACCTGGTGGTGCAACTGATAATAGAACATTTCGTAATTTTTTTGGCCAGTCGTCTGAAGGAAATACTCCAAGAGCAGGACGATTAACCAAAGTTCTCTGAAAAATATTTTCATGATTTTAATAAATATGTTTCCAAAATCTACTAATCTAATTTTTACAGTTTACTGTATCGAAATTGAACATTTATTATTGATAACTGCCAAATTAAGTAATAAATATGATATTTTGAAAATGTTACTAACCACATCACTATCAGTACTAAAAGCATTTAAAAGCGCTGGATGGTTGTATCCGAGAGGCACAGAAGATATATGCGTGTAAGTGTCCAAAAAGAGATTGCCATCTGCATCCGCAAAGTAATTCCCAGCAGATTTCTCAAGATTCGCAAATATTTGCACTGATCCACATTGCTGAAACAATAAAAAGTGCGTGTTTGGATCGAATGTAAGTATCCAGCCAAATTATCTTGTCTTAATAGATATACCAAGGTATCTGTTAAGAAAAAATTATTCCATTGAATTAATAAGAGCTTAGTAACTTCTAATACTTAGATATTATTAACTTCAAACTTATTGATAAGATAAAATAATCGCGTGGATACGTAAATTTACACCTGCGTGGTGTCAATAACCCTGCTTACGTATGTCCTACATTTTGAGTTCCCTTATAAAAAATCAGTGATATTAAATATGAAGGAGAATCTGATGCCCATGCCTCGATACATCGGCACATTATTATCTAAAAGGAGGCAAGTACATCTAGCAATTGAATCCATTAGAAGGCAATTGAAAATTTAGACCTAATTTATAACTCGCGCACAAACATCGAAGGCGACGAAGGACAATAAATTACTATTTGACGCCAGAACAATTGAAAGCAAAGCAATATTTTGTCAATACCATCACTATAAATAGCCTGAAAAAAATATCACACTTTGTAACGACACTTTGAGACCACAGCAGTAATCGTCATAAGTATAGTTGTTGAGGTAGTCAAAAATATCGTCAGATTACGATCGGGAGTAAATGAAGGTTAATGTTTAAAATTCCCGACGTACCCTACCACGAACATAAATATTTACTAAAACAAAAACAAATGTGAAGAGTCTCTTTTTGCAAAGTTGCAGGGCCACTTTATACGTCCTTGGTTAGTTCATGAACCTTTTTACAATGTTGAATTTTCAAGTTAATGTAAATACTATTAGCATCACGATGCATGCCCATCAGTTCCTATCAAGTGGCGCGTTGCTTGTCTGATAGCGTAAAATGTTTGAAAGCCTATTTATGTAGATTGTGATTTAGCATCACACGATAACAAATACGACCTTCGGTGTAAGTTTGTGTTAACAGGTACCTCATATATTCGTTTCTATATTTTAAAACAAGCATTTAAACCATATTATTGTACCCACCTACTAAATATGTATTTCAAGAAATGCAACAGGTTCTTATCATGTTTAAACCAGCTTTTCTTATCATATTTGCGCCGAATGTGTATTTGTGCAGATTTCAGACCTGCATTTTTTATCCGAAAAGATAAATTTTATGGTAAAAAATTACGATACGGACGATACCTAATGTTATCTGCATTAACATTCACTTGCACATATTTTAAGTCTTCTAGGAAAATTATGAAAGTTATTGATGAAAGTAGTTTTCTCTCCTTGCTGTAGAAGTCTTATTTTATTATCGGCGTTCGAAAAATGAAAGATTTACATGTTTATGTGTATTCACATTCACTCACGCAAAAAATAGAAATTAACTCATTATTTCTTTGCGATCGTTTTTTTTTTAATATCTAAGCACATTAATCCAATAACGAATATCTGCTCAATCTTAATATATTCTTTTTGTTGTTGTATAAATATTTACAAAAGATACACTTACTTGAATATCCATCATTTCCTTTAAAAGTGCCTTTGATTTTGGACCAGGTATTTCTGTTTTTATCTGAGGACCTGACGGCTCCTGGTGCACCGTAGAATACGAAGTGCCATAGTTTCGACATTCTGTGCAAGAAAAAAATTTAAGGTTGTAGGTAAGTCTCAGAGGTAAACAAGGATAAGGATTTTTTTGTGCAGAAGTAAAATTTTGGTAGATCCGGCGTAAGAAAGATTTTCTGAATTAGACCTAGTATGTGGAATTATAGAGGCAAAGTTTAAATTGTTTTAACCAACGCATTCATACACCCTACCATATTTTCTCCGATATAATGTCAATAAGTTATAGGTCTGTAATCGTTACTCTGAATATTAACGCACTGTATTCAATACCACGACATATTTTTATGAAGACTAGGTATATGTAATAGATATTATAGTTGCGTTTGTGTCAAATATACGAACCAGAGTAGGTTCGTGCCAAAAACTATTCAATACAATACATTTATAACAAAACCTACACCCCATCCCGTTTATGCAAAAAAATATTATCAGACTAAACAGCGTACCTTTTGTAAATAGCGCTGGTAAAGATGACTTAATCCTTAAAGTACGACTGATTTCGCGTCGCAGCATCTTAGAAGAAATAATTCTTCAAGTCACAATTAGCTGTAACTGCAAAATGTGTCCCGTCCGCAATCGTAACACAAATTCTTCAAAAATACGACGAGGACGTCGTTCTTTGCTAACGGACCGTATCCGTTTGCGCCGTCGCGTCGTGTGGGGGGAGTAGACCTATGTAGTGATTATGGATGGGTTCTGCGGAGGCGCGCAGTCGCAGTACACGGACAAAACATAATAATACCTCTACATACTTACATGTACATACATTCATATTCGTTTATATACATAGTCTGGCCATAAATACTATTACAATTAAAAATAAACAAAATATTACATTTGAATTTGGAATCTGTCATTTTTATATAAATTTTCATTGTGTTTTCGTGATAAAGAGAACCGAATCGCTGTGATTGCATTACACAAAGTGCGTATGGAGCCAAATGCAATTTTTAAAACTCTCCACACGCTTGGCATTATATCAAATGTCTGTGGCATTATACAAAATGACCGTATATAAGCTCAAAGCTCTAAGGAAGCTTCTCAATTAATCGACAGAGTGCAACGTGGGCATTATCCGACTTCAGTGATGGTTTGGTGGGGTGTTAGCTATGAAGGAGTGACTGAGCCATACTTTTGCGAAAAAGGTATCAAAACATCGGCACAAGTGTATCAAAATACCATTCTTAAGAAGGTAGTTAAGCCCCTTAACAACACCATGTTCAATAACCAACAATGGTCCTTCCAGCAAGACTCGGCGCCGGGTCATAAAGCTCGGTCCACGCAGTCTTGGTTGGAAACGAACTTTTCCGACTTCATCAGAGCTGAAGACTGGCCGTCGTTTAGTCCCGATTTTAATCCCCTGGATTATGATTTATGGTCAGTTTTAGAGAGTAGGGCTTGCTCTAAACGTCATGATAATTTGGACTCCCTAAAACAATCCATACGATTAGCAGTGAAGAATTTTCCCATGGAAAGAGTGCGTGCTTCTATTGATAATTGGCCTCAACGTTTAAAGGACTGATAAGCCAATGGAGACCACTTCGAATAAGCTTTTTATGTTTTAAATTGTTTTATATTTATGTATTAAACTGACATACTGTAAAAGTAATAAATGTTATTTGCAATAGAATTTTTTTTTTTATTTGTTACGATATTTATGGCTAGACTGATACATAGAAAATACAATACAGTCGACAGTCATGATTCGTAAAATGATTTGTTTACAAAATTGACTTGCTTAAATGAAATCAGTGTATTATGAAAAAGTATTGTAGATGTAGGTTTTTATGTTTAAAACTGTGTTAATCTTGTTGTTGTGTATCGTATGTGCTGAGAAATTAACATTGCACTGACATTAAACCTTTATCAGCCGTATCTCACGGCTCATTTGTGGCGACAGGCTATCAATCACCAAAAATAATATTTACATTGCCACGAAGAAAAGTACCTAGTACTTACGAGGCCCCGCTTCGTTTAGGAGTTAGACCATATTCATATTGAAAATAACGGGCATAAATATAATGACGACCATAAAATGCTTTGAGACCCTTAGTTTTGTAACCAAACATATCTAGGTACTTACCCACCAGAAAAATAAAGTCTAAAAATACGAGGGTCCAACTGAAAGTTCTTAGAAAATCAAAAACTGATTACATTAGCCAGTTATTAGTTTTATTATATCTTTTCAAAATATTGTCCATTGAAACAATGAAACAATGAATTTATTTTTGCAAATAGGCCTTAAAACGGCTCTTTTACACGTCAAATTATATGTGAAAAACTAGATGAAGCCGGCATTTCCTATCTGACTACTCTGAGAAGAAATGCCGAAACAAACTCAGAGGTCAGTCTCTTTTCAAGTCCAGACAATATAAAATAACATAATGTGAGAGAACCGTGCAAGTTCATTCTGTAGTGGTCTTTTGAGGAAAGAACCACACCAGTTTAAGTGGACCCGTTCTGAAGACAGGCACGCAAGTGTCAGTTTGCAACCATATAGCTAGTGCTGTTGAGTTGTCCGACGAACAATACCGATCAAAAGAACATTTGGGTGGGTCGCGCAAGTACTCAAACTGTCAGAACGCAGATGACTGGTGATAAAAAAGCACGACAAGTCTCACACGGTCCTTACACTAACAATAATATAAAATAATAAAAATGTCAACAAATAAATAAAAAAAATGTCAAATAAAAAAATAAAAATGTCACACTATGTGATCATGTCATCGTATAAAAAAAAATAAACGTAATGTCAAATTGTATATAAAAGTGTAACTTATGTTACAAACATGTCAACATGACCTGTGCAGACATTACAGCGGCTCATTCCCAAGCCTGACTATCCTCTAAGTAGTCTTTTATTTTATAAAATGCTTTACAGCAAAGTTTAGCCTTTATTACACTTTTAAATTTATTGAGGCTCAAATTTTGAATATCGCTAGGAATTTTATTGTAAAAGCGTATACATTGACACCTAAACGAACTACTTATTTTCTGAAGCCTGGAGGCAGGCACAACATATTTGTTTTTCCCCCTCGTGTTGATATTATGTATATCACTATATTTCTTAAATAAGCTTTTGTTTTTATGAGCGTGAATTACATTTTCATAAATATATTGAGAGGCAACTGTCATTATTTTAGATTCCTTAAATAATTCTCTGAGCGAATGCCTCGGACTAAGATTATAGATTGATCGAATAGCCCTTTTCTGCAGAACAAAAATAGACTGGATGTCAGCAGCATTCCCCCACAACAAAATACCGTATGAACCAGTCACGTCAATGCACTGCTGCATGCGATGAAACCACTGGGAAAAATACTTTGCCCGCTCGTCCTTAGAGGTCTCTTTATTGGCAACGCGATACGCAGCCACTGCTTCTTCAGCATTCATAAACCACTTTACTTAATTTTTTTCTTAAATTTTTGTAAATACATAAAAATCACAAGGCGCGAGGTCGGGACTATACGGCGGGTGACCCAGTGATTCAACGTTTGATATGGCCAAATAGTCGATCGTTCGCGTGGCGGTGTGCAACGAGGCGTTGTCGTGATGAAGGAGGATCCTACTGCGAGGTCGTTTCTCTCGAACTTTTTCAAGACAAGTGGCAAACAATTGGTAATGTACCATTCTGCAGAAACTGTTTTTTGATCCTATAATACAATTTTTGCGAAATGACCTATCCTTCCAAACAACGAGGCCACCAATTTTTTCCTGCACTTCGATCTCTCTTCACTTTAGTTGGCAACTCCTCGAAAGGAAACATCCACTGAGCAGATTGTCTTTTGGTTTCAGGTTCATATCAGAAAAACCGAAGGTCTGCAAATATACTCGAGTGGGGTGTCAAATGAAAGCGCACTGAAAGGAAATGTTGATGACTTAATCGAGAGAAAATGATATAAAAACCCTATAAACAGTATAAAATAAAAAAATAAATTAGACCCCCGACAAAATAGAAATATGTAGTTGATAAGTTGATAATAAAATGTTTGGATCGGTCCACCAACGCCACGTTTTCTTTTAATTATTACTTTTTAAACGAATATTAGATATTTTGTCGGGGGTTTTTTAAATTTTAATTATTATTTATAACTAGCAGCCCTCCCACGCTTCGCTCGGGTCCAACTATCTTACTGACAACGAAAGGGTAATTTTTCCTAAATTTTACCGGTACTATTATAACATTATTTTTTTCATAAGAACCTTCTTCTGTTGTTGCGTTGTCGAGTTATGCGCTTACCAACACATTTTGCGATTCATTTTTGTATGTAGATTTATTTTTTTTCCCTGACGTTAATTTTTAGGCAAACTTACTGATTCTTAGACAGCTTCACAATTTTAACACTAAAGGCGCTAGTTAGTTATCTTTGAAATATCGCGGCGTAGATCAAAAAGCGAACAGACCTTAATAATAGCTACATACGTTTATAATTCTATCATTTATAAAAACAAGTATAAGTAAATCTTTAAATACGTGATACAAACAATACGCGTGTGAACTTAGATAGTCGTTTATAAAATGCTTAAAGTTTACCTTATATCCAAATTAAATTTATTAAAGCTCAAATTTTGAATACCGCTGGGAATTTTATTTGAAAAGCTTTTATCTTAGTACAAATTATAAAAGCATGTGGGTACCTACATTAACATCTAAACATAAAACCAATTATTTTCTGAACCCAACTGAGGTAGGCACAAAATGTTTGTGTTTCCCTCTCGTTTTAATATTATGTAAATCACTATACTTCTTACATTTCATTACCAATCACTTACATGATAACGTAAAAATATACTTTAAAATTCTTATTATTAAATTTCGCGTTCTCATGTTCTTTGTCGATATCTTTAAATACGAAGATCTAGAGTTTGGTCTGCTACTCTTTATGCATCTAAGGGTAAGGTCATCCGTTGAATATTTTTTTGGAAATTGCTAAAACATTCACGATATTTAAAGATAGTTAATAAAGACCAACCAGATTTAGACGAGTATCGCATAAAAATTATTTCGTTACTCTTTGTGGCGCAACACTATCTGACGTTTAATAAACAGTGACACTGCCATTTCAATTTCAAAGACATAAAAAAAAATGCAAGAAAGACAAAGCAAGCAAATCAACATTGAATTGAATAACATTTGAATCGCCATTAGTTTATTTTATCTTTATCTTACCTTCCGTGATCTTTTGTGTGTGTGAAATATATTTACCAGACTCGCACTAATGTTAGCATCTTTAAAAAAAGCTTTAAAATGGAATACAGCAAAAACATTAGAAAACAAAAACACTCAGACATCGCTTTTGCTAGCAGCATTTCTTGGTTTACTTGAAGATGTTTTATTTTGGAAGAAAATGTGGATGTCTTTATTATTTATTTTTCTTGTGAATATTGTTTTTTTGTAAGTGATTACCTAAAATATTATTTATATAATTTTCACGTTTTTAAACTAATTATTTCTTATAAAATAATAAATAAACGTTTTATTTTTTTACAGTGTAAGTGTTTATCAACAAGTCAACCTTTTAGAATTCATCTTGATTTCATGGACAGCTGTAGTAATTATTGATGCATTTGAAAGCTGGCTAAAACATAAACACAGGACTGGTTGCTTAAAAAGGTTGTCTGAGCATGGCGATCAGATAAGTTCTGTGGCATTTCAATTCAAAGTATGGCTGAAGAATAGATGCAATGAATTCTTGTATCTAAGAGAAACTAATCATACTAAAGTAAGTACCTATCTTAATTTGGTAATTATGTCTCAATTTTGTGTATGAAATGCATAATATTTATTTAATGATTTGTGTTATAGTATAAAAATAGTATATAATCAGTTATATCTAATTTTAATAAAATAAAAACTGTCAAGTTCTGTGTGGAAGTTGCAAAACTAACTTTTACATGCACTCAAGAAATAAGTGTTACTTTATGTATGGAGTAATAGCATACTATCAATCAAAATTAATTCCACTACATATTAATAGATTTAATCATTTATATAATGCTTAGTAATTGTTTTTGTGTATGTATTCTAATGATGTGGTTGTGTGATTGATAAACATCCACACCACATTGATTGCCTTACAAAAAATAAACTATCAGCTGATTATACATTATGTCTTAAATTACCATTATATTCCATTATAATATTTGTAGGTACCTACTAAAGTATTCTTTTCACAATCTGACTTTATGTGTAAATATGTCTGTTAGATTAATTGATTTACTTAAAATATTTTTCTGTTACAGGCTTTCCTTTTAATCAACATAATCCTGATAATATTTTTTCTTACTGGGAAATACATAAGTGGCTATATACTAGTATACATATTGTTAATGTCTATATGTCTGTTTAATAAAGTAATATTACCTATTATTAAATTATGCAAGAATATGAGACAAGACTTTGGTAAGTAACTCCTTGATTTTTCAGTTGATAATTTTTTATTACATTTTATTTTATTTAATGCCCTTGTTTTTAATAATTTTTAGAATCCGACTTCGAATTGGAAGGTCTCATTCCAGAAGCATCCGAGGTTGACATTAAATTATTATCTATTGAACCTGATCCAGTTCCAGTAATGGATGAAAGACAAATTTATGGTAAACTTGTTTAGTTTTGGAATTTAAATAAACAAAAAAAAAATACACTTAGGAGTCAGTCATAGATTTGATATTTATTGTTGAATGTTGTATCCTAACAAAATTCTCTAACATGATGCTTCTTAATAACAGATTATTGGAAACCAGAAGATGTGCCATTGGCTGAATGCAGTGACAGTTCTGACAACAGCAGCTCATTAGTTACAAATTTTTCTATGGAGAAAATGCAAACTCTGGATAAAGATGTTGATTCTTCTGACACCAGTGAAGATGAATACATTCCTTTAGGCAAGTTCAATGGATGAATATTTTGTGCATGATGATGAAGAGTAATTGGAAACATATGAAACTGTAAGATTCTACTACAATTTCAGCATGTTTCAAAAAAGAAATTGAGAAAAGGAAGATGTCTAGGACTAGTACTTTATTTGCAGTATTTGTGTGCTGTTTTGAAAATGATTCAAATTTTTTTTTTTTTTTGTTGTTTTAGACCAACTGAAAGAAAAACAAAAGATGAAATCTACATTAGAGGTAGTGGAACCAGCCAGTACATGGAGCTCTACTGCCTACAACACATTCTGGAATATTACTGGAGCTGTGGCAAATATGATACAATCAGAATCCAGCACAACTAAAAGGAATCGACTCTCAAGTATAGATTCATCTGATGGTTTCGAAATGATTGACAAAACTGACTTATCTTAACAAATAAAACAAATGTAGTCATAAAAAGTAATTTTAATAAGCAGACATATTTATTCTGTTAATAATGTTTTTGTGTCTTTGTTTTAATTATTTATTTTCATAAATGCTTAGTAATGGCACAAAAAAAGCAGCAAGGATAAAAAGGTGTAGGTAATACCATATAAAAACATTACCATACTTCTACAAAAAATTACAGAACATTTATAGGGTTTTTTAGACAACATAATAAAAACATCAATTTTAAAACCCAACCAAATGACAAAATTGTAGATGCTTATGGTACTAATTTATACTAGGGTACCAAAGTTTTATTCAAGTTTTAAATTTATGTGATTTTTGTAACATTACACATTGTTTAACTGGTCTTAATGAATGTATTGTGAATACTTCATCCTTAATTATTAAGTTATTATTCTTACAAAGCATAAGTAACAGTGAATGATAGAACACAAAACAATGTAGATGGCATATCAATAAAAAAGAATAATTAAACATTGCAAGACATATTTTCCAGCTTAGCCATCATTTCCTGGTGTTGTCTTTTTAGTGCTTTCAGACGAACCATATTTAGATTATTTCTTGCTACAAGACCTTCCAACATTGGTCTTGACATCTGAAAAAAAAACAAAATTATAATTTCAATATGTTAACTTGGTAACATTTATAGCACCTCCTTACATACATATTTTTAATATATATTGGTAGGACACCCAATAAACAGTAGTCATGTAAAGTGATAGTTTAAAATTAATAGTTCCTGATTAATCCATTTTGAATTGTATCTTTTAGTAGATTTTGTTGATTGTGTCTTATATATCTATACGTATTGTTTTTCAATTATTGATGAAATGAGGGTATCATACCTATAATATAGGTAACAATTGTGTCAAAAAGACAGGAATGTTATAACATTTTGATAGTGATATATATAGGTGATCTTATATCATAACAAGATGATGAAGATGCATATTATGCCCTATGAAGAGGAACTCCTTTTATATGAAACACAAATATGTACTTTAACCTTAATTAAGAATGGATTACCTTATCAACTATATGCCCAATTGCTATAGTTCTAACTGCTGCATTATGTTGTCTATTTATTATATCATCAATATCATTTGCTTCAGCTTTACTGCCAAAAGCCTCATCTTCCTCCTCCTTTAGTATTGCAGGCAGTTGTGTCAATGTCTAAAATAAATTAATACAATTTATTGTAACAGTTGATGATATACTTCTCTAAGTAACTAATTAGTTTTGCCGAATGTATGTCTTTATTACTGATACTTTAAATCATGGACAATTCATTTTTTTTTATTTTTGTAAGTATTTAAAAAAAAATCTCGATAGTTTACATTATCTCATAACTGAACCACACACTAGCACATGAAACTACACTGATCTGACAAATATGTCTGTCAATAGATTTTTATTTAATATAAAAATTGATTGACAGGCAAATGGGAGTGAGTTAGTTTTGCTGGTACCTGCACCAGTACAGGAGGAAGACATACTAAATTATATAGAACATCACTGTAACACATCGTAAATTGTAAACCAAATCTGTACTTACCTCAAAATTGTTTGACAATAAAGGGTCATTATTATTTACCACTTCCATTTTAATTTCCTTTCTGCTCTGATTTGATCCATCATTTACAGATTGGAAACAGGTTATTTGAATCTGTGTAAAAAGAATACATAAGATATTATATCTGTTTTCTTCCTTTACAACAATAATATAATTTAATCATTTAGAATCACCGAAGGAGCCTTTGTTGTCTGGTCAGAAAGGAACACTGCAAATATAATTCCAACAAAGCTGCTATCCATTCTCTGATACATTGACTGTGTAGCAAGATCTGTAACAGTAAATAGTTCAAACATTTACTGCATTTAAAAAAACCTTGGTTTTTAATAATTATAAATAGACAGTTATATGGAACCTACCAACATGTGAAGGCCATACGGTAATGTGAGGGTGGGAGTGGTACCACCCTACTACCCTTAGTGGTCTGTTAACTTCAGCTGCTAATTCTTCAGCACGCATTGTAGCTTGCACTAACTGCTCTTCAGATATTTCAACACGATCGGGCTTTTTATCTAAGCGTCGCAATATTACAGAAGACACTATCGATACCATTGTACCTTTGTTGTGTACCTGTGAAATGTTCAAATACATGTTTTTAATAAGTTAGTCAGTGTCTAAATTGTAATCAACAATTACTATAAGAATGTCTACTGTACCTCCCCGATAAGAAGACCCATAATTTCTTCTTTTTCGGTGGATAAGGCATGTTGAACACAAACTAGCGCGACGTCCGAAGAAAGCAATACATTATTTAACATGTCTATTAACAAATCTTAAATAATTTATTAATTAAATTGCGGTGTTTTGACACGAATAAGTAATATTTATAAAGAATCGGGTAATTTATTAATAACAAACAATATTTTCTTATTCACGTACAATAACAATGCAAAAATGACACTGACACTGACACTTGACAGCTTCGTTGACAAGCTAATAGGAATTTTCAATGTACACGTTCATTTATAACGAATAATTAATTATGATGGAAACTCGCTGACTATATAGTCATATTCTGTGATGTAAGCACAGGCACGATATTTTAGACAGAGCGTGGGTAAGCTAATCAGATGTTCAAAAGATTCTCAATGTTTAGTCTATAAAATAAAATAATGTAATGGTGGCTTGAGTCTCGTCATGCGTCAGGATGTTTTCACTCTTCACTTCACTAATAATCTAAAGTTTACCATGAATCAACCAACTTAGGATGTTTCTAATTATTAAACTCTACTCTTTGGTAAGTATGATACGCGCCACGCCTATCTTATATGTGTCAAGTGTCAAGTATTAGTCAATGTCACTATTTCCCGTCTCTCAGTCAATAGATGTCAAAGCAAGGCTATTATCCAGCCAGCAGTGATAAAAGTCAAAATAAAAGTACTTGTTCTACTATTTATATGTTTATTAATATCTACATCTCCAAACATTTTATTTTATTTTAAGTTTATAATTTGTAAATTTTCTATTTACATTAATAATGACAAGTGAGTATGAGAAATGCACAGCTAAAGATGGAGCTCGACCTTACAAATGTTGCGACTACGCCAACAAAATTTCAGTAAATTTACATCATTTCAAAAGAGATGGAAGATTTTGTGATATAGATTTAATATCAGGTTCCACAAGAGTTAAGGTAAGCTTAATTAGTATTTCGAATAGACAATAAAAAACCATTGAACTAAACAATTGTTTTGTGTTTCAATATTTGCTATTACTTTCTTGTTGTTAATAATTGCCATAACGGCTGATCAATTTTCTAAACTAAATGGGGTTTTAGAGTAGTTAGTTAGTCGTTATAGTTACAGTTTATAAATAACACTGATACACGTTTTAATAGTAAGCACAAGATTAAATGTTGACTTTATACAATTTAATAATACTAAAAGAAAAAAAAGTGTTATGAAAGTTGGTGAATGTAGCAAAAAAGTCTCAAGGTACTAAAGTTTTAAGATAGCAACATTTTTAAATAACTATACTTCTATTATTTATTTATTTCTCTACAAAAAGTTTCTGTCTTCTACTCAAGTTCAAAATACTCATAACAAAAGTGGCATAAACATTGATGTGTTATATATTTTAAGGCCCATCGAGTAGTACTGGCAGCAAGCTGTGCATATTTTGATGCAATGTTTAATGTTGGTTTAGAAGAAACACAAAAAGGATATGTTGCTTTGCCAAGTGTTCCCCCTGACATACTCCCAATGATAATTGACTTTATCTATACAGGTAAACTAAAGTACTAAGTACCTATTTGCTACTGTTTTAGCAAAATGTAAAATCAAATTAGCTTTTTGAAATAATTAACAAACTTAGTCAAAATATTAGGTTAAATAAATAATGTTTACTTTTCTAGGTGAAATAGTAATTGACAAGAGTACTGTCCAACATTTATTGATTGCTGCTGATATGCTTCAACTTAGAGAGCTGGTAACAGGATGTGGAGAGTTTCTTAGGAGAGAATTACACCACACTAATGCCCTAGGAATATTTAGGTAAGTGATATTCTTTTTGTGTAGTGTGTGACTACACTATATAATATTATTATATTTATTTTTCAGTTTCACACATTTAACAAATGTTTGGTCTTAATTTTCTGTTCAAAATCCTGTTCACAGAATGTTGTTAAGTTCATATTATGTTGTTTGGATTTTGCCACAATTATTTTTTATGTGGTTGTACACTGGCTAGATTAGAAATTAGAATTGCAAAATCACATTGTGACACAGTATGGATCTGGTATAAGTTGTTAAGCTTAATACTTCTTACATGATAATAAAAATATTGTATCATTAAATTAAAATTTTATCTACTTGTAAAAGACCCATCATATTTGAGTGCAGTTTTTAAAACATCATCTTTAATTACAAATATTACATTTGATTATATGTCAATCTAGTACCTATGGCCTTCTGGTAATCATTTGTATTTGCATTAAGTAAATATGCACCTAAATCTTGTGTTGTCTGTTTGCAGCTTCATAATTTATTTGCAATCATGTTAAAATTGTTGAGTATGTCATATATTTTTAATTATTAGAATATTTATTCAATCAACAATATTTCAGTTGTCTTGCAACTTACAATAATTACTGTGTGATACAGAAACAACAATTATGCAATTTCAGACATTTACAACAAAAATACTTATCATATTAGCCATGTTACTTCCCAGTATTTGTGACAATGATCAACTACCACTTCTGTAGCTTCCCATACACTGAGATTTTAGTTAGTTATTTGTTGATACACTAATGCATTATGAAATTGCTTTCATTACATTAGGTTTGCAGAAGCTCACAACTGCATTGAATTGGTAAAAGAAGCACTAGAGCATGTTCAAGCCAACTGGAACATAGTATCTAATGGTGATGAGCTTTTAGAATTACCATTACCACAGCTAATAACATTGCTTTCTTCAGAACAATTAAAAGTTGACAGTGAAGCTCAGGTACTGTATTTACTGTTTTCACATTTTCCCATGATTGAATTCCATTCCTCTTCAAAATTAAAACTACACTACCACAACAGCCACAATAAATCAACTGCTGAACATAGACTTCTCCTAAAATTAAACTACTCCTTTTTACTACCTATGCTATGATAAAGAAACATGAACACCATAACTCATGGAAATCTCTTTTAAACACATAATGCACTAGGTACTCCTAAGGATTAATTTGATTTATATAGGTTTACTCTGAATACTGAATTATTTTAGGTTCTATATGCCGCACTACGATGGCTAGAGCATGACCCAGCATGTCGCCGACGGCACTGTTTCGAAGTACTGAATCATGTACGACTACCACTTATATCGCCACAAGTTTTAGATCAAGCTATCAAAAATGTACAGGATCCTTCTATTGCAGTGGCTCTTAAAACTGCGAGAGTTGATATGGTAAGTAATACCATATTATCATCACCTACCTTACAAACTTTAATATTTGCTTAGTCTTTCTTTAATATTTTTTTTTACTCTTTCTTACCAGTTTTACCTCCTTAATTTCTATCATCTGCCCTTCTCTATTTCTGTCTTATATATTTTTCACTGTTATTCTATTAGTCGTAGATGTGTATTAAGAACCTTCTAGAAGACTTACGACTGTAACTCACGTAACACGCGTAGGCTACATAAAAGCTTGACCATTTTTGTGCTAAATTGATCATTTCCCGGTGTCACCTAATACTAATATTTACTGCACGGTTGGCGCGGTGGCTGAGCAAATGGCTGTCGCGCAATGTGTCGGGGGTTCGATTCCCGCACGCAACAACTTTTTGTGTGAACCACTAATTGTTGTTCCGGTTCTGGGTGTGATATGTGTGTGGAATTGTATGTTTGTAAACGCACCCACGACACAGAAGAAAATCCCAGTGTAGGGCAACATTCTTTAAAAAAATACTAGCTAACAGATGAAATTAAACAGATCCCAATCAAGGATGAGGATCAATTTTGACATTATATGAAGTATTTAGCATAAAAATATGGATCCAAAATATTAAAATCCAGTTCTTAAAATTTCGCCCACACTCCACAATTTCGCTCATATCACATGATATTTTTTTAGAAAACTCGTCGCGGTGCTTTGGTTTCCTTGTTGGTGGAGCCACGTCAGCGAGCACGGCGTATATTACTTTTAGCCGGAGGGTCATGCCGAGATAAAGCTGCGCACCAGCCACTATCGACACACTACAACCAAGACAACATTCTCTCTTCAGTGCTAAAATTTGATCTACACAAACGGTGAATACTTTGTTTACTAAAACTAAATTTAACAAATACCACATTTAATATTACTTATGTACCACTAATTCCAGTAGAATAATAAGTAAGTACCTATGTGCATTTTTATTACCACAGAGAATGGGAGGAGCTTTCGTCAATGGGCATAGCGCGAATCCAGCCAGGTGTGGCCACTTTAGGAGGCCGGGTTTATGCCGTAGGGGGTGAACAAGGAAGTCAAATACTTGCCAACGGTGAAGTATATGATCCTCAGGTAAGAAATTTTTATTTTTTATTAGTTAGAAGGCAAACACTCATACGGATTACCTATTTATTTGTTATATGTCATCATCAGTATCAGAAATATAATTTTGCTTTCCTTTTCGTTCTTTATCAGGTGAAATTATTGATAGGTAGATAGCATATTTACTTAACTGTGCTGAAATTAATGAATTCAAGTGCAGGATTACTGCGTAATGTTTCTTACTGACTAAAAACTTCCCAGTTCCTCTCGCTATGAACCACGCCGATCACTTCCCAATGTCTACACTCTTAAGGGTCAATTTATACGAGCGCAGAGACAAAGCGCAACCAAGCGAAAATCTGTTCAATTCACATTCAATCAACATTTGCCCGCGAATGTAAATATCCGAAGTAATTAGATAACGTGTACATTACAGTACGTTAAGTTATAAATGAACGATATGTCGATAATTGTAAGAAATAAAAAAAAATATTCCCAGTCCTACCCGGAACACAAAATGTAGCAATTAGCAAATGCATTTTCAAAAACTGTCTTTTTTATGTAAGTAGCTCTCTAAGTTTTACTTTTTCATTTCAGACTGATAAATGGTCAAATATTTCTCCAATGAAAGAAGCACGCTGTGAGTTCGGGCTGACAGGTTGGAATGGTAATTTATATGCCTTTGGAGGCTGGGTGGGATCAGACATGGGCTCTTCGGTGGAAGTGTATGATCCAGTCGCAGATGAGTGGACTTTAGTAGGCAGAATGCCGGAGCCAAGATTTGGAATGGGCGTTATTAATTTTGAAGGTAAATAACACACAAAAACTTTCCTAAAAATATTATACCACCAATGATTACTCTTTTGTGATGTGATTCTATTCTACAGCTGTGATGTTGTTTTGTTTTCAGGTCTAATATACATAGTTGGTGGATGTACTCACACGTGGCGACATACAAGAGATTTATTATGTTACCATCCGGCATCTCGAAAATGGCACTCCTTGAAACCGATGCACCACGCTCGTAGTCAGGCCGCCGCGGTCGTACTCGACAACTATTTGTACGTTATCGGTGGCAACGCGCCGAGGCGCACAGTTCTTACCTCGGTGGAACGTTACAGTTTTGATGAGGTAACTATTAATTACTTTTGTAAATCTTTTGAATTTTATCGATATTTAACTGATGCAAATTCAGGACTTCACCGAGTAAGAAGCAGGATTAAACAACTGACGATATTTTTATGTAAATGAAATATGTATTTGCAGGGAACTTGGGAAGAAGTAGCGAGTTTGAAAGAGGCTCGGGCCGGGTGTGCGGCGGGGGCAGCGGAGGGCGTGCTGGTGGTGGCGGGCGGCGACAGCGAGAGCGCGGGCGAGCGCGCCTTCTACCGCGCGCGCACCACGCTCGCCAGCGTCGAGCTGTACGACCCTCGCGACAACGCCTGGCGCGCCGGCCCGCCACTGCCGCACTCCCGCGCCGAGGCAGGCGCCGCCCTGCTCTGACCCTGCAGGTACTACCGCGAACCAAGCTACGACAAATGTACAAAACATATTACCAATTATGTGTAGCTAATCGATCAATGTTATTATGTGATAGGATTAAGCTATCGTCCAAATATTTATTGCATCTTTCCTATTTTTCTATACGCAACCCAAAGAGTAACAATTTCTTCACTAATGACTTTGACTTATTTTATTTAGGTACCAAATCTTGCAAGTCTTGCAACATAAAACTCTTTATATAAATGTATGTACATAAATCTTATTCAATGTATAGAACTTCCATTGAGATTAACATTTTAAATGTAATTACTTTTAAGTAATTTTTCGCTTTAGTCTCAATTCAGAATATTACTTCACAAATTTCTTATGTTTGCGTATTCGCATTAATTTATTACATTCTCAGATATTTATCTTGTACTGGATTTATTTCTGCTATATTTGTTTCATCATAGCTATGTGTCGTATATTTATTTATATAGGTAATCATTAGAAAAACGAAATGTATGTAATAAGTATTAAGCAGCTTGAAATATAAATAACCATAGAGTAGGAAACAATGAAAAATAATCGCCAATTTAGCTAAATTAGGTTGAATAGTTAGCCAAAAACAAACAAAAAAGAATACTTTATAATTACTTTCTATTTCCATAATGGATACTTATAATCTCTCGGTAAAACTTAGGGATCACAGACGTAAACGTAAATATTGGATATATTTATGTAACAATTGGCCGATATATGTCTAAAGGTACCTATAGTATGTATAGCGGTGAGATTGGATAAAGTTGAGGGTTAACTGCGTAATACTCATTCCCACGGCTCATTCCCAAAAATTACCTAACAGTGTAGGATTAGGTGATAGGTACAAATATCAATTAAAGAGATTGCGTCTTTTTAACATTGGGTCTCAAATCACAATTCGAATCAAGTGAAAGAACTTTCCTTTATTATCTTTAAACATAAAATAAATTTTACTTATTCTGAAAGGATAGTGTGACCTAGAGCGAGCATTTGAGAATGAAGCCTTAATTTCTTCGTTAAGTTTTTTGATAAATGCATTTTATATAGTTTTAAGAAGCTTATGATATTTGGTAATAATGTCTGTAACGTTTAAAAGCATAATTTCATTTTATTTATAATGTAATTAATATTTACTATATTGTACCGGTCTTGTTTAGGTCATAAATAAAGCAAAACTATGTATTTGTGTTGTATAACAACTACCAAGTTGTATGTTATGCACAACTCGTCGACTGAACTTCTATTGGTGTTATTATTTTTACGGACTTTAGATATACATATTATAGTATGGTAGGTACCCTACACAGGTCACAGTTTTTAGCATCAATATCTGTTTGCTCTTAGTTATGCAGTGTAATAATGTGTCAAGGGTGTTCCCAGGTACAATGGCCTCAAAGAATGCATTTGAGGGTTCCATTTGATGGAGCCAGGGTCCCCTCTGTCACTGGTTAGGCCATTGCTAAGGTCTTTAATCATGTTATACACATTAATTTTTATTGATAACTATTGTAATCTATTGTATAATGTTATTGTCTTCATATATTCTATAATTACTAAGTTTCATATTTACAATATTTTAGACTATTTCCAGTAAAGGACTCATCCAAAATGTACCAAAGGCTGAAAGGATTCTTTCGATCATTCACCATGTTCAAAGGTAGTTGTGAATATCCGTAACAAGCTATTGATTTTGTTAATTATTATGACTTATTTTTGGAAAACAAGCTTTTGTCTGCAAAAGTGATATCTGATACCTATACATCTCTTTGTTTCGAATTGACTCACAAGTGTCAAGATAATAATAACAAAATGTTATTTAGCGTAATATGCACTTACTTATTAAACAATGCACATTTTGAAAGTTGGGACGTAATTGCGTGAATGATCTCCTTTTAAACATAAAATTTATTTTTTATTATTATGTAATGTGTTCAAATTAGTATTTACAAAAATGTCTACTATCGTGTATATGCATAGGAAATTTTATAATATTGTAAGCTTAATTGTTGGACTGCCGCCTGGTAGCATTATTTACGTATTATTATATAATCTAAGCTGGGTGATATTAATGAATCTTGTATAAGTATAAATAAGAAATAAAACTATTAAATATTTTTACAATGAGATATTTTATTAAGTATTATTTATTAAATAAAATAAACTATAAAGTAAACGCTGGGAACTTTGCGTCTGAAACGTGAGTCATTTCTTCAGATAAATAGAGACGGCCAATTAAGCCTTCAAACAATGACGCTGGTCTATCTGGGTGATGTAGTTCTGTGCCCAAGCGTGCCACAGCGCACCACTCCATAAAGCAACAGGCTCGGTAGAGATATTCAGGTTTCTGGAAAATTAAGTTGTTATAATATTGCACTTTAAGTATATCTCGCAAATTAAATTATTAAAATTAAGTTGCAGCACAGGCAGGCCGCCTTTAATTAATGGTTGTTAGTCAATCAAGTTACGAAAATTTTTTCCTACCAACCTTCGTAGCCTGATACAACTGTATAAATGCGTATGCATTTCCACTCACACCATGGCATATACTGTATCCCTTAGTGCATAAGCCTCTTTGCCATATAACTTCTCCGCACTGCTGAGCTATTTTCATATATTTTTCTTCATCAAAAACCTGAAACGTGATTTTTTAAGTATAAGTTTGCTTTATCTTTTACAATTAGCTACCTAATCTTGGAACCCACTGAAATTATTATAATTACTTACGTTACATTTTTATAATTATTTTACCTGGTGAGCTAAAATGCACAAAGGTACAAATCCAGGAGCGCCATGACACCATTGGACTAGTTTGTCTCCCGAGTTGCTGCCCATGGACGATGGAAAGTTGCCACTTTGAAACCGCTGATTCATTAACCAGTCTAATGTTGGTTTAATGTATTTCCGTATATCTTTTATATTAATATATGAGCGCGCCTGGAACAAAATGATACAAATTCTTGCATTATTTAAGTGGGGGTAAGCCATATTTCAACTTAGGCCTTTCATGATACCACGGCCTCGCAGTAAACCGGCGCGTGCGGTGTGATTGAGCCGGAATTTACCGGAAGCCGAATACCATCCCCGCCCTCCATCTTATAACACCCAAAGAGTATGTAACCACTACGTTTAATAACACCCAAAAGGTCGGTAAGCAACTTCTCGTGTCACGGATGTTTACGGGGCGGCGCCGATCAGGTACAAAGTCAAGTTAGATCCGACTGCCTGAGAATTCTTGTCTACCTATTTATTTTATTTGTTTGGGCAAACTGATTTTAAACTGATATCTTGCAAGTACTTGTTACGCTCGTCATTTAATATTTTTGTTAATCATATACATAATTATCATTCTATAAATACCTACAGCCTTTTGTTAAACTTAAAAACAAAAACAGGTTTAATTTACTCAGAACAAACTGATCTTGAAATATTACCTGTAACAGCATGTACAATATCCCAGCCATACCATGAGCTGCTCCAAAATACACTTTCTCATGCCAATTCCATAACAAGGGGCTCTCAGATTTCATTGCTATGGCAAATTGCTTTCCTGTATTTAGTATGCTATCAATAACCTGAGAGTAAATAGTTGTACATAATGAACATAAGTTTTCTTACTACAACATACAGAGTGAACAACAAAAGAATATAATGCATTTTTGATCGAAGATGCTACCTTTGTTATATGATTCACAGGTATAATCTCCTTTCCGGAAATATGTTTGTTCACAAATAGTAATGCATATAGATATCCAGATTTTCCATATAACAGCTCATCGGGTGATTCATTCAGCAAAGAAATTAGAGAAGTAAGTCTGAAAATGTAAACAGACTTTTATTCAGAGTAGTTTGTTGATTGGGTTTTTGAAAATAAGTGCTGATAATTATGACGATCTGAATCACATAAATGTAGTTGTCGAACCTAGGTATTAAAAGAAGTAGCTGCAACAATCGTAATTGACACAACCAGAACAACTAAAATCCATAGATAGACGGAAATTCTTATGTTGTGTTTGCTAAGGTCAGAAGAGGTTTCTAATGAAAATTAGATGGAAAATTCAGCTCAGAATACAGAACAAACCAGAATCCGCGTTCACTCATAATTACATGTCGTCAAATGTGTCCAAAAACAATACGTCAATGCCCCCGCCAGCTGCACTTCCCACCCGCGTAGTGTTGCCGACAGTGGAACAATTCCCTTGGTTTAGGGTAATTTTACAAGAGGAGGGTAAGATACGAGTAAACCCAACAAAAAAGGTAAACTTACGATAAATGCAACAGACTAGTTGTTCACACATTTCATAGAGGTATCATAAAAGTTGACGATTTCTGGCTGTGTTAATTTTAGTTACACCTACATTACATTTAGTTACATACACAACAAATAAAATAAAGCTTCAATAAGTACAAAGGTTTTATTGCGTACCCTTTTGCTGATTTAGTTTTTCTTTACTTAGTTCCTGAGATTAGCGCATTCTAGCAAACAAACAAACAAACTCTTCAGCATTATAATTAGTATAGATATATCTCAGTAGGATATGTGTGTGTTTTCTAACCACCTTTGTCATAAATATATCTCTTCAAAGTGAATTGAGCAAACTATGCTCTGGCTAGATGGTTTCAAAAATTAATCTAACCGTGCCCTTTGTATGCTTTGTATTTATTTTTTTGTCAGGGAAACTAATATGACATAAGCTCCATAATGGACAAAAATATAACCCACAATCTTATCCACTTTTTTCGTAATTCTAGTCGCATTTTTACTCGTAGTAATAACACAAGACGGCATAATGAAATTAAAATTGATACACGTAAATACGTCACGACATGCCACGTGCCAAAATTGACTAATCGTAGAAATTTCATACTATTCTAGTTGAGAATGGTTTTCGTTGCTTAAGTTTGAAGCGCGATGACGCCTTCTGGTTTGTTCTGTATTCTGAGTCTTTCAGTCATGGTAATTTGAAACAATAGGTCAAAAGTGGAGTCAAGTCCATGTCCATGTCCATGGGCGGCGCTGATTGCTTACCATCAGGTAATTCGTAGGCTTGATTCGCTTTATCACATAAAAAAATGTTTGTGTGAACACTGGTGTTTGATTGGGGTTTGATGAATTAATATCAACCAACAAAATACACAAACCTAAGGGCTAAAGTTTTATAGTCAGGTAGCTTGTGCTCAATATGTTCAGTATCTAGTTTGTAAGATATTACAGTAGCAATAGCAAGTGGCCCTGCATCTCCACACAAGAAGCTAATTTTACGGCCTTTCAGTTTTTCAATGTCTATGTAATCCAATGCAGCCTGAAATCATTAAAAAAATAAAATTATACACAGAAAAGTGCATCACATGTTCAAATTTTATTATAGAAAACACAAAAACTACAATAATAGGATTAAGAGGTAGACAGAACATCTGTGGTTGTGCAAGGCACGATTGAGTACCACAGCCTCAGCCTAGCTATAGTATGAGAAGGAAAGGGCTATACCCTTATAGCCGTTAGATAATTTTAACCAGATGATTTACTACTAACCTGCAACATTTCATGGCTGGAATCACTTTTTAAAGAACACATGAAGTAAAATAATGCAAGGCCTGCTGATCCAGTATATACAGTATTGTCATGGAATATATCATTTACCATTTCAGCTTTCAAATATTGCAATTTTTCAGTTTTAAATTTTTGTAATTTTGCGTGAAACTTTTCAGATATCTACAAATAAATAAATTTATAAATAAGACAAGGTAAAAACTCACAAAAAGTATAAAGAACAAAAATAAGATATATATACTTAGTTAAAGAAACAGTTTTTGATATTTTAGATGAATATATTTTAAAGTTTAAGGAATCATTCAGTAGATATCCTTGATACAGAATACTATTATTGGTTCAAAGAGACTATGAAGAATTTATTAAAAAAAAAAATTATACATACCCCATCACCAGATTTATTTAAGATATTAGATGCAACGTCTGCTGAATACTTGTCATACTGATTTTCGAAAGAACCTTTCGGAGACATGTTTAAATTAAATTTATAACTGTACTCTGTAAATAAATACACACAATTTTATAAAATGTTTTTTTTAATAGCTTGATTTAGGGGTTACATGTTTTTTTATTATAAATTGTGTATCTTGTGAGTTTTCAGAGAGACGATAACCCCTTAGACTTACTATACTCTGCTTATTGCTTTATATTGATAATGAAATATTAATAAAGATACACAAATACAAAAACAAAATGAGAGAAACTTGACGCAACCAACTGTCAGTGACTTTTTACCTTGGTAACTGATCATAAATATATTACCAAAAGAGAGGCACACATATTTTATGTTTATTTCGAAATCCAAATATCAGCCTTAAAAATTTAAACAATTTCAAAGTTATTCATAGTTAATTCAGGCTATTTTAAAGTTGTTTTTTTATTAAAATTATTTTTAAGTTTACCCACTTTTAAACTTTTAACGTGGAGTTCAAAACTTGTAACACTGTTGGGGTAGTATTATCCAAAATGGCTACTCTGTCAATTACTTTTCGACTACTCGAAGTGTTTGACTGAAGTATTTCGAGGATTTGTGAATTAATTTAAAGTGCCTTATTATGTATTGCGTAGTCAAAGATTGTACAAGTGTATGGAACCCAACATCAAATGTCATCTTTCACAGGTAAGTCCAGAAATACCATATTTTAAGTTATACATTATCGTTACGTATTTTATGCCAATATTTAAAAAATCTGTAAATATTTACGTTCGAAACGGTGTCACAAATATTTTTCTAGTAATCTTTGTCATCGTTTAGAAATTTATATGCGTAAATCGCATTTAATTATTAAAAAACAGGTACGTTTAGTCTTAGACGTCAAAATTATGTGTTTGTAAACAAAGAGCTAAAGAGTGACCATATTTTTTAAGTTAGGTAGATACTTTTTGATTTGTGGAATGGTTGAATTTTATGTAGGCCTCGTTGCTCTTATAATGAGACTAACGTATTATATCTGAGGGTAAAACAGAAAGGTCTTCAAATTTTAATAATTAAAAGAGTGTCAAAACTAAGTTTAGAGCTGTCCTGCTATTTTGGTCTAATTACAGTAAATTAAATCAGTCAACTCGGTTAATATACAATTAATTTTATGTTTCAGTTTTCCCAAGGACTCGGAAAAAAGGCAGAAATGGTTGTCTGCTATTAAAAGGGAAGTTTTATGAATCAGCAAAGATTTGTAGCTTACACTTTAAGCCGGAGAATTATGATCCATTAAGACCAAAAAGGCTTTTAAATAGTGCTGTTCTGGTTGATTCTGTACAATTATGCTCCTGTGGTAATAACGTTATGGTAAGCATTTTTTACATTTCACAATGTGCTGCTAACCCATCCAACAACCATGTTGAGAATAATATTTCAAATTACAGGCATATAAAACGCCATTCAAATGCTTGGTTTCACCTAATGCAATGATACCGACAGAAACTGATACTTGTTCCACAATGTCAGGAAAAGAACACAGCTATTGCGAAAAGGACATACACATCATACAAAATGAAAATATTGTAAGTATTTAACTTATTGTCTAGTATTAAGGTATCTTTTTATCCTTTTCAAAATTTGCTGCTTACATACCTAGCAATCATGTTAACAATAATATTTCAAATTACAGGAAAGTACAACGCCATTCAAGTGCTCGGCTTCATCAAATGAAACAATACCAACGCACAACACACACACTGAAAATATTGTAAGTATTTAATTTATTGTGTAGTATTAGCTTGTACTTATGGCATAGAAGTCAAACCAAACCTTCAACATCCAGGTTAGGTTTTTTTTGGTTTTTTTCACGATGTAGTAAGCTCATGATAGACATTGAGACCTTTTGATCATCTTAGTTGTTACTGATTATAATCTTTGTTCCACAGGTAGTTAATGAAAATGAACCGCCAGCGAAACGACGCCGCTTAAAAGATTTTAATGTTCAATGTAAAATTAAATTCACTGCGGGAAAAGTGTTTGGAAAAAAAGAAAAAAAATTACAACAAAAAGTTGCGCGAAATGAACAAAAAATAAAAGATTTGAAGTCGTTAGTAAACATTGTTCGTTTTTTTTGTAAAATTTTATGAACTCATACATAGTTCATAAAATTTTACAAAAAAAAATTCGTGACTTTTGTCATCAATTATTAACTACCGAAAATGAAAAAAAAAAATGATCATGATTATTTGTTAATATTAATAGACATTCTGCGTTTACGACCTTTGTGCAGCGTTCAAGGTAGTCCGCTACTCAGATAGTTTGTTTAAGCACTCGGTATCCAAAGGTATACTGCTTCACAGCAAAACTAATAATTTGCAATCAAAATTAGTGTTAGCGGTCCTGGAAAAATGTTATCCATTGTTGCAGGAATTATTTGTGCCTAAACATCCAATCACTGATACTTGTATGGATTTACACGAAACTTTTTATTTTTTTTATGTAATCGGTCGGCAAACGAGCAGACGGATTACCTGATGGTAAGCAATCAGCGCAGCCCATGGACAACCGCACCGGAGGAGTTACGAGTGCGTTGCCGACCTTTTAGGGATTTGGGATTTGAAGATTTAGGGATTGAGGAGGGATTGAGCGAGGGGAAGGATTGGGCCTCCGGTAACCTCACTCACACGGCGAAACACAACGGTGTGGTTGTTTCACGCTGGTTTTCTGCGAGGCCGTGGTATCACTCCGGTCGAGCCGACCCATTCGTGCCGAAGCATGGCTCTCCCACACTTAAAAATAATAAAATATGTTTCGAAACTGAAGTAATAAAATATATTTCGAATAGTTTTTTAAAATAAGAATTCATTCTTATCTGAAAACTTATACTCAAAGGCTTTTGGGTGAGATTCGCACTAAAAGGCAAAAATTGCATAAAACTGTTTTATTTTCACACGTGTGATATAAACTTGTGATTTTTATTAATAAAAATGATTTTGCACTGTACTGACTTTTTTTAAATATCCCCGGTACGGTCTGACGGCAACCTACCAACTATTCACCATCCGCTAGCCCGCGCCTATGGTGGCTGAAAAACGAGATCGGGATCCTATCGTCAACACACATGATCTTACATTCGCCCTCTGTCAATATGTATAGACATTTGTTATTACCTATTTAAATAAAAAGGACTTGATACTAGACTTTAAAACGAGGACTTGAAACTGTTTAAGGAAATTTATTGAATGGTTGATATCGTGTGAGAAGTGATATGGAAGACAGAGGAGTTAGCGATAGCGTGACGAGTGACAGGACAGAATGGAAGAAAAAAACGCATTGCGCCTACCCCAAATAAAACGGGACAAGGGCAGGAAGATGATGATGGTTGATATCGTGGACTGGTAAGGACTTATAAAATCAAATAGGTATTGGCTTTTAGCTGCAAGTAATTTTTAAGCTTAAATGGGAACTTATCAGCTTGACTTGTTTTCAAGGGGTGTTTTTGAAAGAATACCTATCATTATAATTCTTATTGTTTACATACGTAGTATATCTTTTTAATTTGTGTTGCTTACCTGACAATTTTAATATCTTTTCATTTGTATCAAGTTTAATATCTAAAGAAATGATATCTAGATATAGCAGTATTACTGTTAAGTATTAACAGTTGTGTGTATACGTAAGTACTCTTAAGGGTGTATTAAGATAACATGCGCTGCACACGCACAGCATCCGCGCACGCTTTGTGCTCGCCTTAGACCTAAAACATACACAAGCGACGTAAAGCGAAGGCACGGGGCCGGCGCAGCGCAGGCGTTGGACAATTCACAAACATGCGGTAAAAACTCATTAAAACATCTGTTATTCCAAAATCAAAATCGATCTTCGAGGCACCAACCGTTGTTTCCTTATCAGCACAAGAACATAGTTCAAAGCAAAAACCAACAGTTTCTACATTTAAAAAACGTTTCTGGCCATGAAATGTTGACAAATATTTTTTATAATTTTTATGTAATGCCAATAAACATCCTAAGGTACCCTCAACGCATACGGTATGTTGGTGGCATGACGTAGTTTTCTCCATCAACGCAAATGGTGCGTTGGTAGCAACGAATGGGATAAGGAATACATACGACAGACAGACAAACATTTTAGCCATTGTAGTTATCGACTACCAACCCCTGATAGTTATTTTGAAAATATATTTAATGTACAGAATTGACTTCTCTACAGATTTACAATTATATGTATGTATAGATTACTAAACCAAAACTAATACGATCGAAAACCACACTAAAATAGAAATGTTGAATTTAAACAATCATAAATATGTACAAAATATCCTAAAGCTAGTAAAAATAGTTGTCACCCTGATGAAAGAGATGCAAAACATAAATGACGTGTTTCAAGGTCATTTTATTAGTCCTCAGTTCTTTTTTCTTGGTGCAACATCCAGTGTACTTTATAATATTCTTGGTCAAAGCCATGGAGGAATTAAGTCTATCTATGGTCTTATAAAAAAGTAGTCCTCTGAGTTAAAGAGTAATTAATAAACTCACTAGCGCATTTCACAGCGATTGCGTTGTCACGCGTGAATTTAAATGGTGTAAATTTTATTTAAAGAAAGGTGAACATTCACACTTTTAGGATATAGTGTGGCCGTCGCATACACTTGAGCTGTCGCGTAATAGAACGTTGTTTATAAACTCTTTGATGCCAAAAATTTTGATTTGAAAAATTGGATTTGTCAACATTGACAGGCTTTTTACTTATTTGGAAAACTATATTCAGTAGGTATAAAAGTTTTACAATCTAAGCCCTAGCTTGACGTGAACCGACACAACGCAACACAATTATTAATTTCTGACTAAAATAGAGATTTGTCAGTTCACACGCCCTTTTGGTTATGTCTATTGTTGCCAGCATTCAAAACAATTTTGTAATCTGTCAAAACTACTTTTTCGCTCCTTTTCTTCAATTTCGTAGGTAGGGTAACATTGAAAATCAGCGCATTTGGCGCATGCGTCTGACAATTTTCGGCCATATTGTTATGACGCATACAAGATCATAGGTCTCCGCCAGTGACGAGTCTTCTCGCAGTTGACGTGGCTACTACGTACCATCCCGTTCGCCCACTCCGGACGCAGCATAGACGGTGACGAGGAATACGTAACTGGTGAGTGCTTGTGAAGACAAACCTTGCGACCTGTCATGGTTACTTATATTTGGATTCACAAATAATGTATGATCCACGATATTGAGACACTCAAATCTAGTAAATATAATTATAATATGTTGCGTATGCATTAGACGCAATAGGAAATTCCGCGTCCCATCTATGACGCGATGATTCCGTTTTAGGATTTTCAAGCCCAACGAGAAACTTCCGAAAAACAGAGAGTGTTTATATTCATCGAAAGATATTGCTTTGAGCATGTCTGAAGATCAAGGAATGCACAGAAAGTTGACCTTGAATTTTAGGTGACCTTAGTGGGCATGGATGGAATGGTGGAAGAGAATGGCACTTCAAGCGGTGCTGGTCCTGCGGATCCACTGGGCAGTGCGAGCTCCTCGGCGCCCGCGTCAGCTCCTCACGTAGTAGCTGTCACTAGCATTGTCCAACTCACATTACCAACCCAGGCTCCATCTGCTCAGGTGTTTATTTTGCTCTTTATTTACTTGTGTGTTAATACATTCAAACTCATATCTGTTTACAATTGGATGTGATAACTGTTACATTAACCTGTGTATTGATAGGTTATAACTGCATCAGTATTCTGCTGAATTACATTGGTTGTTTACTTTAGTGCAATTCATTACATATTATTAGTACCTATTTATGATATTATTTATTAGCATTCTTCACTTTATTTGAGCATGAATTGGTTACATCATAGTATTACTAAGTTGTATATTATTGATGACTGGAGAAATTTTAGATATTTATGTTTCCAGGTTCAGTCAGTGATACAGCCAAACCAACAATCTGTTATTCAAACAGCATCCAATATACAATCTGTGCAGTTACCAAAAGGGAATGTGATCCTTGTTAGCAAACCAAGTTCAGTGATTCACACAACACAAGGAACATTGCAAACATTGCAGGTTTGTTAAATTTGTTTATGATTTTTTGTGAATCTGTTTAATATATTATAACATTAAAAGATAAATGCTGCTTTATTAACTGTATAAAGTCAAAACACATTGTTAATTTTGTTGTTTTAAAAGTTAAGTTAAATAAATTTTGAATTTTTTAATTGGCTATTTAAAGATAAACAAAAAAGTGGTGTGTTATTGTGAAACTTTAACATTTGCTTAGGCGTGACCTAGTTTGTTTATAATGATGTTTGGTACAAAAAAATAAGTAGAGAAAACAAAAACACATTGAATATTTTCCATTAAAAGAAAGCTTAAATTGTATTAACATATTTTTTAATTTATAGATTAAACCAGAACCTAACTCGATAGTCAGCACTCAAGGCCAGTCATGCAGTGATGACAGCTGTAGTGGTGATGAGAGTCCCAAGAGAAAGTACCGGGAAATGCTCACCAGGCGTCCCTCATACCGCAAAATCTTGAATGATCTTGGAGGTGCTGAAATTGCTGGTAAGTCCTTATTAAACTAATTGAAGCAACAAATAAAAAAAAACAATACTATCTGGATATAAAGATTGTGCTGTGATGTTTTAGCGTTTAAGATTATTTTAACTTCTAGGCAATTTCCTGTAAGTGATTATGAGATAAAAAGGAATAAAATTAAAATTTGTGAAGCCTTCAGCATATTCAACTGCGGAATTTTAATATTTAATATTCACTGCATATTTAAACATTAATTTTCATTTACACAACACAATGTACTACAATGCCTGAATGATAAAAGGCCAAAATGACATATTCAAATATTAAATTATTAATTTTATAAGTGAATGTTTCATCAATAACCATACTTTTCCTTAGGACATGTAGTTTTATGGGACTGCAGTATTTACTAATTTCATAGACACTAAAATAAGGTGGAACAAATTAAATAAACAAAAATTCTTATAAGTATAAGAACCTGATGATATTACAGAAAATCGCATGGGATCTAAACCAGGAAACGAGAATGAAGTGTCGCTGTCATCTTCTTTATCATTTGGTTCAGGTCAGTTATATGTGCCGCGTTGACACTCTTTGTTTCTGTGTGCAACATGTGTCACTAACCTGTTACAACGCATCATACATAACTTATTGTACATTGTGTTGGTACACAGCTCATAACCACTGCTTCAGGATTCTGCCATAATCATTTGTTTTATACTTCATAAGAAGGTTATAGTTAAGATCTGTATGTGTTTCAGAGTATAGATTTTGGTTTTTAGAAATATCTTATTTTGTCATTTACAAATCCTTGCTTGTCTTCACCATATATGAGTTACTAGCTATTCTGGCTCGGTTTTACCCGCTCGGCTCCTACAGATAGCGTGATGTAATATTGCCTAAAGCCTTCCTTGATAAATGAACTAAGAAACTTATTCAATTTGAACCAATAGTTCCAAAGATTAGTGCATTCAAACAAACAAACTCTTCAACTTTATAATATATATCTAGCTACTCTCGCGCGGTTTCAAGTTCGTTGCTCCATTTGATCGCAGCGTGATGTTTTGTAGCCTATAACACTCAGGAACATTGTAGCTATCTATTAGTGAAAGAATGTTGTCAATCCGACCAGCGGTTCCAAAGATTACCCCCTACATACAAACTTGCAAATTTTAGATTGGTGAAATAATGATAATTAAGTATCATTATTTTCTCCAATCTATATGTCGATAATTATAATTCATTGTAACACTTATGAACCTATGTGTTGCCTTGCTTGGACATACATCTTAAAAAGTCAAACACTAGATTCAGGGCCACATAATAACCTAAAGATTTCCAGTGTCTCTTAGTGACAACAAATTAATTAGCTATTTGTGACTTCATAGTTTCTAGTATCAAGTATCATGTTTGATATTTTTTATTGAATAATTTGACTCAACTATGATTGTAACACATAGGTGTAAAGAAATAAAATAAATAATAAAGTTTAATATGCAGGTTTAGTATTTCTTTAGTGATGTTAATATTATGGCATTTTAACATTTTCCCATTTAATTTCTGGAGCCTTATGTAATATTTTAGTCATCATATTTGAAGAGTCTTGTAACACAGAATACACAACAGTGGCATAAATACTCATTAAATACATCACAGATATGTATTTAATGTACTTAATAAAAAAAACTAATTAATTACAAAAAATATATTTGATATTGTAGGACATTTTATTTAGTCAAGTACAATATCATATCGCGTAATAGGACTGAAAATATAAATAACTTATGCTTATAAATAGGGATAATTGTAAGTTATCCTTATAATAATGTAAGTATAACAACTTGCTTTTTAAAAGTAGCGCCAAACATACCAGTACCAATTTTTGGTAGTATACTCCAGAGTTTGCTTTTTTACACGACTGCCCAAAAAAAGGAGTGTTATTTGTTAATTTGTTTGAAATTCATTGAATACTTTTAATCATATAATTGCATTTCAACAACAATAATTATCTTATCCAGATAAACCTAAGAAGTTTAGCAAGACATAAAAGTCATAGGCTACATTCGAGTTTGATTACTAAAATATCTCATGAACCTATCTAACTTGTAAAACTAAGTATGTCTAATGTTCATTGCTAGTGACCTTGAAATCAATTGTATTTACATCTGCGCTTAATTAGATGTTTTATTTATGTTCGACACTTATAACGGCTTCTATTGAAAAAATCGTGGTTAATAAATTCTTTGCCAAGAATCATAGCTGTTGCATAAATGTTTAAATGTTCATGGTGCAAGGAAAATATGCTGATCTAGAAATCAATCTGTTTTCTGCGTGACCTTAATAACATGTTCTGTATTTTGTTTGATCACTTGTATTATAAATGTTTATTTATAGGTTTAAATCAGTTGTAAGCACATTCTGACTACAATGACGTCATCACTGGTGAGACCTGATTAATATTCTACGCGGTGACGTAATCCGCGGCGCGATGGCGTGATGACGCCATTCTTACAACTTACTAAACCCACTTAGCTTATTCATAGTTATTTCCCAGTAACTTTATTTCATTTTTTTTATTTTGTTACTGATCACTTTACTTCAAATGTACAGGAAAACTCACTACAACAATTTAAACTTTTACATAAACAGTGTATGAAAACATTGTGTAAAGGTGAACTTAAGAGTTTGAATCCCATTCCACTTTGAGCAAGTTTGGAGATGAAATCTGAATAACGCTCATCATATCTTCTCAGTATAAGAAGAGGCCTTTGCTCGCCAGTGGGCTCTTTAAGGCTGATGATGAGGACACTAATATTGGCTTCAATAAAATACTTTTAAATTAAACATGTCTTCTTTGAGTCACAATGTCTTTGTGATAGTCTAACTAAGGCTTTAATGTACAGACAATAGAAACAAACTTTGTGTTGCTTTTATTACTAGTACTACATACACGAAGTTGGAAAATCGTATGAAGCCTGTCCTCATTGGATGAATAACGATTAAAATAACTTTAGTGTGAAAGTTGAAGGTTGCATGTGGGTATACCGAAAACTTGAATTTGAAAATTTCGAAGATCCAAGATCCTGAGCACGTTTTTCTAGAAATAGTGCCAGAGACAATTAACTGTACGAGTCTAATATGTACCTAAAAACACAATACAATACATATTTTTGGCACAATGACATTGCGTAAAATCAACACTATCAATATTACAAGTCACTTAAATACACATTGTTTTCTAACTCAAAATGACCACCTCAATATGTAAGTGAATCAGATTTTTCCCTCAGAAAAAAATATACATAGTTACCCAACTTAACTAGATTTAGATATAGGTTTTTGACAATATTTTGTCAAATTAATAAAAAAAAATACAACAAGTGTAACTTACAATTTTCTTAATTTTTAAACTACATTTGAAAAAGAAAATCACAAAATCATGGTTTCATTAATTGATGAAATACTTAAAAAATATGACTCCCAAACATCTACTAAACTGGTAAAGTTTAGTAGATATTAGATATTACTAAATATACAGGGTGTCCGGTAAAGAATGGATAACCTTGCAATACCTTTAAGTATATCTTATGGCCATTCAAAAAAAAAAAACGGAAAAAAAATATTTTATAAAAAACTTGCAAATTAATTTATTATAGACAAATCGTGCAAAATTTATTTTTAAAGCAATGTTTAATCATCGTGGTTATGCAGTAATGTAATGAACGTAAATGTTAAAGGATCATTTTGTATTACCTCTAGCCCCAGTTCTTTTACTTCAAGACATAATAATTTATGTACTACCTATGATACATTCCTTTTCGTTGTTTTTTCTGAATGGCCAAAGTATATACTAAAAGGCATTTCAAGGTTATCCATTCTTTACCAGACAGCCTGTATATACTTTAGATTCAAGGGATTGTTATTCTCTAATTAGAATAAAAAGCTCCATCATTAACTTATAAGCGGCTTGTGGTCAAGTATTTATGTTATTTCTGCTAATCATATTTTTTTACCAGTTCAATAGTTTTTGTGTAATGATAAAACGAGAAGGTATTGAATTATTATTATTTTTATTAATTGAATTATTTCATTTCATTGTTTACAAAAATAGGTTTTATAGTAGTGATACTTAGATAACTTAATAATAATTTTGTCCTAACCTAAACATACCGTTTTCCCCCTTTTTAACTTAGTTAAATGAAACAGAGCACAATCTTTATATAATTTTAAGGATAGGTTAATATTTTCTTTAAAACTCAAATACAATCCTATAAAAATTACAAACGTTAAATAATAATAACGGCACGTGTCTCATGTTTTACGATGTTGTATAGACACTTACCTTGATTATTTTCATTTTATTTTTAGTAATTCCTGCGGGTGCTCTTCAAACTGAAAGTGGTTTACATACACTGGCTGTATCTGGAGGAGGAGCAGGTGGAGCGATAGTTCAGTACTCGACAAATCAAGACGAACATTTTTACGTTCCCGGTAAGTGTAATTATCATTTTTTTAAATATTGTACTGCAAAACAATTTGTTGATAAATCAGTAAATTTTACAATACTTTCAGGTCCAATGTTAGAAGACCAGACACGTAAACGTGAATTACGGCTGTTAAAAAATCGCGAAGCGGCAAGAGAATGTCGTCGAAAGAAAAAAGAATACATTAAATGTCTAGAGAACAGAGTCGCAGTGCTTGAGAACCAAAATAAAGCACTAATAGAAGAATTAAAATCCTTAAAGGAGTTATACTGTCAACAAAAGACAGAATGAGGTCCAGCTGGCTAAAAGGGTGTGCTGCTGCCCTGCCACAGAGCCGAAAGGCACACGTTGTTACTGTACTGTCTGTGCTAAAATGCTGCATTCAGATTGCTTGATTTGGCTATCAACATAGGGAGAGTTACAATTTTGTAATTCTGTGTTTAGTGGTTGATAATGTCAAGTCAATTATATTATTGTTCATGCATTGATTGATCAATCCCTATTTTCTTAAAGTATTGTTAGATTTGATGTATTTGAATTGTTAATGTGTTTTGTAATTTTCTATTGTTGTTTTCATCATTTGTTTGATTTTTATCCAGTATAATAATAACAGAACCGACACCATATTAGTAGCTATTTACGTCACTGTTTGTTTTTTATATATTAAACCTGTTAATATAGGCTTATGCGTTAAATAGAATTATAATGTCAGTCATAACTTTATTTACCATTCCAAAATGTTTAGCATACATTTCAAACAAGTTCGACTTGTGCCATTTTTGGGGCGGTAATATTATCAAATCATTCAACATGATTGGATAAATGATTTTTTAAGAGTTAAATATTGTCAATTATTTGATGCCAAGATGCTTAAAATATGTTTTAATCCAAGATTCGTTCTCTTGTTTTTTTATTTACTAAGGTTATTTGAAGTGACAAAGCACGATTGACCATTCTAAAAGTCGATTTTGGAACTGGACAAGTGTATGTTATGATTGTACCGATTTAGGGTGTGTGTTATTCTATAAACGGCTAAATCTTGGACTATTCTTTCTTAAAAATACATTTATGTGTAATCATGCTATATATATAAATTTAATTTGTTTTTGAACTTTTGGCACGAAACAAAGCGGCGCCTGTATGAATTAAATAGCATTTATGTGATAGTCGACTGAAAAAGAGTTAACAACCACTTAAATTTCATTTGGTTCATAGCACTGTACAGATCGATTGAGCTGAGCGGGACATTTTACACTTAAGCTGGACACACATCTCACTCCGCTCTTTTATTTTCTTTCACTTTCTATCAACTCCTACTAGTGCTGTATTTAGTATACTAGTGTTCAGTGTGTTCTTATTGTTTTCACTACATTTTTGCTTGTAAGATTAATTGGTAATTCGTAGTATTTTATGTGTCTTTGTTAAAAATATGTAATTAAATACGATGCAAAAGTCCCGCAATGCTTAGGTCCATGCACTGCTGCGTCCTTATACGGTGCTGGTAAACCAAATATTAAACACTACAACGGCATCTGCGCCCGCCCGCTCTTTGTGCCGAAGACCTGTTTTTATTGTATGTGAATACAAGTTCTGTATGATTTCTGGATTATTCATATGAATGTAGCCAACAATATGTACAATCGTACAATTACACCTGCATTCGACTCGTGGCTATAAGCAATGTGGTGACAGGGGAGGGGTCAAAATGTATTAACCAGTCATGTAGCCAACAAGGAAATCAGTTCTATTTATCCGAATATGTACATAAAAATCGCCAACGGGCCGTCCGCGTGTAAGACAGTTAATGTTTGAGCAATTTACGAATACATTCGTCCATTTAAGTTTATACATTCAAAACAATGTTTGCTTGCCGATTCATTCGAATTATACGTGGACCGCTCGCTAAATTCAGTTATTATGATGCAAAGGAATGATATTGTGCTCATGTATGCACAACTGTAGATAGTCTCCTAATATTATTATTTACTAGACAAAATGTCTTTACCAAAAACTCAAATTGCCGAAAAAATTAAGCAATTGAACATTGTTTAACAGTATAGATATGCAGTATAAACGAAGTATCGACAACGGCGTCTTTTAAAATAATTAGATACAGTTTCAGTATTGGCCGTTTGTAGAAACCAGCATGTCTTGTCTGAACTTTAAATAATTATCATGCTGCTGCTTGTTTTTGTCACATGTCTGTGATTGAAGATACTGAAGTGATAAATACATAACACTATATAAACTGATTTTATCTTATACTTTGACACCATACAGGGTGTTTATAATGGATAAGCCAAAGTTAATATTTTTAGTTGTTTTGTGCAATATCCATATTGCAATGTACAGTTATCTATTTTTCTTATACTAATAAAATGATACATACCTTTAAAATGAGAATAAGAATTTTGTACATTGTGTATAGATAAAGATATGTAAAAAAAGAATGTATAAAAAATCTGTATATATACTAGTGTAATAATGTGGATGAAAAGTGAATTGTTTTTATCAAATACAATCAAATTTTATGTCTTACCCATTAAGAAAAATGTATTTGGGATTAGTTCATGTTCTTATTTACTTTACTGACTCATTTAGTCATCCACATCATAATATACACATATTGTATTTTGTTTTTGTGAATGGGTAATTTTAGCTGACTACCAGAGTTAAAATAAGATTTTATTATATTTCATTTGCCATGATTGATTTACCCTACATAGTTTTTTGTTTTATAAATTATTTTACGCAACAATTGAATTGTTATTATTGAAATAAAGTACGACATTGAAATTAGTTACATTTGTTTGTAATGTACTTATTCTACAAAAGAAACCATTTTTATTATATTTTCTATCAATCATGGCAAATGATTTAGCATTAATGATAGACATTGTGGAAAGTGCCTTTACTTAGAATGAATAAAATTTATACCAACATAGCTCTTTATGTTAACTTAATGCTATTTATAAAATTAATAATATTAACTGTTTGATGTATTTACTGTTGTCTTATTATTCCAATTTTATACCTTACATTTTATGAATGTACAACCTGTAACCCAAGGTACCTATATAGGTAGGTCGTATATAATTATTTTTTCATTATTTTTGAGAGGGTTTATTGCAGGTACCGATTTTATAGCATATAAAATATTTTCTCTTATACTTCGGCATAACGATTTTAGTATAAAAGAAAGCTTAACAACTGAGTATAATGTAAATGATATTTATTTATGCCTTGTTACAAAAGTTAATGACAGAACCGAATTGCTGCAAAACTGACTTAAAATCTTGGCTGCCCTACCCCAAAATTGTAAATGAAAACGCAGACACGTTTCACGCCCTCGTACGCACATGTAACCCGTACGCGGGCGGGCCGGCCTACAGACAAAGGACAACTTTCAAGTATAGAGGGGAGTTTCGAATAATTCATTTGAATAGCGATAACAACAAGTAGAATTCTATTTGTTTTGTAACCTGAAATCATTATAGAACAAAACATTGTAGTTATGTTTATATAGAACTTAGACAATACCTAAGTTATCTTCTTGTAGACGGGACCTACGCCCAGAAGTATGACACTAATAACAACGGAGTAAGCAATTGGGATATAACGTTAAATGCAATATACCAATTATAGTTTATGACCAAGAGCGCAAAAATATTTTGATTATGAATAATTTACAAGGCAATTACACATTACATATTATAATATTGTTATGTGTAAATTACCTTTTCAAACGAATCTTCCAAAATGCGTTGGTAAACGCATAAATCAACTTCTCCTGGAATAATTTTGCCAATTCTTCTGATGTGTTTGTTATTACCAGGAGAAGGTCCCTAAAGATTTTTTTCTCTGAAATAAATGTGTACTTTATGTGGAAATCGGGGAATAGCAAGGCGATATGATTTTGGAACCCGTGCGAAGCAGAGGCATTTTATACTTACCATTTTATTTCAAATTAAATTTAAACTTCTTTTCTATCATCACGGTGCCCTCCTTACGGCATTCTTACCATTTGCTTAACCTAAAACGTTGCCCCACACTAGGATTTTCTCCTGTGTCGTGGGTGCGTTTAAAAACATACAATTTCACGTACACACCACACTTAGACGCTGAATAACAATTTGTGGATCACACAGTTTTTCCGTGCGAATATCGAACCCGCGACCGCGACACGTTGCGCGGCATCCAGTTGCCCAGTCACTGCAGTCAAATCCGTTATTCTATTATTTTGGCATTATTTGAATTCATAGTCTGCAGGCGACGGCGGGCTTCTGTTAGGGTTCTGGAACTGCGGCTCCAGAGTCGTGTACACCCTTCTTTATAAATAGGCCAAATAAAAGTAGGGATGTTATATCTACTACCTATCCCATTTTTATGCAAATTGATAGATTACGAAATAGTTATATTCTTCATACCTCGTTGGCTGTGTGCTGGCAGAATTGATTGCCGAGCAAGAGGTCTCAGTACTAGAGTCGAATATTATTAGGTCTTCGAAAACTAACTGAGAGCTAGAAACCTCAAATTGACGCGGAAAAAGCGCACTACCGTTTCATTAGGTTCCTAAAATTGGTGGAAAGTGAGTGCTCCATTGTACCTTTAAATTACTTTGTTATTATATACATATATATATATATATATTAATTGAAAACTTGTTGTTTCCCCAATTAAAATTTTGTATAGGTAAATATCAGACCTTGATTCTGGATGTGGTGGTATTCACAAGTGTGAGAATTAACTTGTGTTACAGTTTGCAATATAGATACCCGTAGCTACCAAGTAGGCTATATTTTAATTTTTGTGTCTTGACCGATCATTTTAACATTACACAAGCAAAATAGGATTAATAATATAATTAAAATATTAAAAAATATTTGAACCATAAGAAATTTATTAGACATTGAATTATGACAAAATCTTTGAAATTCAGTGTAAAATTTACACATGAAACACAAGCAGTAAACACTATTAAGTATTATTAGGCTATTGATGTAGTAGACAACATATTAAATACACTTTAGTGTTATCATTGTAATTTTGTCTCTTCACTTTAAATATCAATGAAAGATTAATTCTAATCATCAAAATTCTGTGACAGCAAAAAGTTTGCAGCAAGGTTTTCATTTTTTTCACAAGCAAAATATGCTTGAATTACCATATGTTCTGGAAAGCCCAATGCTTTTAATCTTTCAATGGCTTCTTTATCTTGGGGTGAGACTTGAGGCTGTTGTACTTGCGGCACATCTATAGCATTCTCTTCGGCAACTGCACCAGCAGCTGATGGATTAACAGGTTCATTAAGCATTCTAACAAAAGCTGATTGATGTTGGCTGATTGCTTGCAACAGAGCTGGATTAGTTTGGCCTATCTGCTGAAGTACTGCATTCAGCAAATTTGGGTTCTGTTGGATGACAGCACGCATTTGTTGAAATTGAGGCTGGTCACGAAGGAAAGCTAACGGGTCTTCATCAGTACCTTCTTCAGCATCCTGTTCTTGAAGTAACTCTTCTGGGATACCTGTTATTAAATACTCCACTGCTCTTTCACGGTTATTGAAGGAAGCTCGTAGCGCTTGTTCAACTTGCTGTCTGTTGTATCCCATATCCATAATACTTTGTACTGTAGCTTCAAAATCAAGTTCATTGGATGCAGCCGCTGGCTCGGGTTCTGGTGCCGGAGTAGGTTTAGGAGCTTCTTCGGTGGTAGATTTAGGTTTACCATCACCACTTTCCGTTGAAGCACTTTCACCAGCTTCGGGGGCAGACGTAGTTGACGCCGGAACATCCGAAGTTTTCGGTTTTGTTACCATGATAACAATGAATTTTTTTTCATCTATGTTATAGGTACTTAACTTATCATCATCGAGCAAGATTTTTCCTGCGTAAATAAGCCTTTGATGATCAGCAACATAATCTTTACCTTTCTCAACTTCAATTTTCAGCTTGAGCGCTTTAACTGTTTCTTCTGGATCGATTTCTATTTGAAAAGTTTGCTGTTGTAATGTTTTCAGTGTCAGCAACATTTTAGTAACTTTCTATAGAATTTATAAATGATTGAGCAAGTTTTGTCCTAAATTAGATACCGACTGAATTCTGACTCGACAAAATTATGCAGTAAACATAACCTCACGGCTGTCTATCTTTGAGCGTTCGGATATGCATTCATCCATCCAAAGACAATATTCGATGTCAGAAAATATACCAAATCAAAGTTTATTCGATAGCGAAGCGAACGTCTAATACAACTCAAGTTCCTCTTATATAAAGTAATATTAACCTAGCTAACGAGTAATCGACAGGCACGAATATAAAATGATACAAACGTTTTGGTAGTAAAGATGTTACTTTCATCAGACAAAAAAATCTAATATGAATAAATTTGTAAACTGTATTTGTAAAAAGGATATCAGGTTCCTACTTGGGTACTCCTGAGACTTCCATATTTTATAATAAAGTGAATTTATATAACTTTACTAGCATAGGTTCATTTCCTATGCTAGTGAAGATAAAGCTGGTTGCATATGCTTGATTTCCAAATAAGTTAGTACCTACCTAATCCATTTGAATGGTGCAAATGTACAAAACTGGAGCGAAAGTACAAATAGTTCTTTTCTGTTCGAAAAAAAAAAAGAATTATGTGCACCCGTTGAACATTAAATTTCTAAAGGCCAGATACTGATTCTAGACGTTTAAAGCTACTGTTTGTTATCTGTGGCTGAATTTAATGTCTATAGTCAGACTTTTAATTCGATTCCTGATTTGACATTGACCACTGTCATTTTGTGAAATAATGATACCACATAATAACAGTGTAGTGATGAACACAAAAATCGATAAACAATCAGTGAATCAGTTTCAGGAAGGCATTCAAAAAATTACGGCTACCGAATGGCCCAAATGTGTATCCCATGTTTTCAAAGAAGAGGAAAAAATTAGTAAGCTAGATATGTTTATTGACAATAAATATCAAAGACACCATTCATTATAAATGTTACATAGAGTAACGGCGATAGCGATAGCGATGACGGCGACAATTTGTAAAATGTCTGTTTTATTTGTCACGTTCCTTCATGATCACATTTTTTATTAATTACACACACAATTACAAAAGAAAAGTCTCAGATCAATTAATTGTCAAAACTAAATTATCGGTTCAGAAATATTTTATTTCCTGATAAACTTAGTTTAAGAGAGTAAATTTATAAACGAGAGGAATCGATTCAGAAATATTCGATTTCCATATCGAATAATTTCGCAACGTCACTATTTATTACGTGTCATAACGTTGCAACACTGAAATTGTCAAATCTGGAATGGAATTAAAATTCCGAGTATAGGATCACTTTGGCTTAAAGGACTCGTATCCAGGCCATAAACTCCAAAAAAAAAAAAAAATCTAGGATCACTTTGAGCAGAAGCAGAGCTACGTGAATTAAAACATTGGAAATAATTGAACAATTTACAAACTTATCGCATATTTTTATTCTGCCACAGCTTTACTCCCAAAGGGGGATAAAGCCGCGAATAGTTACAATAACTGAAACACACTGTCTATAAAAGGCTATAATAGGAAACCTAAAGTAGGCAAATTATCATCACTGGACACACCTTCAGACTTCTGATACCTACATGTTCCATCATATAAATTCGAGATAGGTACTAGAAAAAACCCAAGTAACACATTGGCCGACTCTGGAATTGAATCCAAGATCTATTGCAAAGTAGTCGCACATTGAAAGTGAAAGTCTTAAAACATTTATTAGCTTACATTATTAGGTTTGACATTTGACAAGTGATTTTATATTTATACTTCTCTCGTGCAGTTTCACGTTCACCCTCTGCTCGGCTCCTACAGATCGTAGCGTGATGTTTTTTAGCCTTGACCGTCCTCAATAAATGGTCTATTAAATACAAAAATAATTTCGGCAGCTTCGGTAGGTTCCTGTTTCGGATCCGGCGAGACGAAACGCGCGAGTGTCCTCATTGTGAGGA